TTACAAAGATTGCTGTACAAAGTAGTTTGGTTCCACCCTATTGAAGAAAACCAGATACATTCTGATAAAGGAAGTTTGAGAGTGGCCACAAAAGAAAGATAAGCTTCTAAGCCGATATTTTAGCTGATATTTTATCTATAGTGCACTTTGCATAGGTAGCCTGGTATCTGAAAGTGGGATGGACATAAGTAAAACCAAAAAAAATGATGAAAATAACTATATATACATACATACGTGTATATACTCATTAAAAAACATTGAAGGAGAATTTAAATAATACCTCCTACCCTCCTACCATGAGTAAGAAATGCACATGTTGTGTGCATACAAAGATGCATGTTTACATTTGTGTATCATCCAGCCATAAATCTGCACAGCTGTGAGAATATGATCTGTATTTTGATTAATCCACAGATGCAAAAAAGAATGGTTTGCCTGATAAACACATTTGCAGATGTTTCAAGAGGAAACCTTATCTTACCTTAAACATCAGGCCCTTAGTGTCTTACAATTAGAACTATTTCTCTTGAACACAGGATGTTAACACAACCACAAATAAAATTTTCAACTTGACCTCAAATGTTTTTATGAACCTTCCTTTATTTTGTGGTTTCACCTGTACAGGATGTCTCAGCTATAGCTTCCTTACCCCTGCTAACATTTGCAAATGGTCCTTCAACATCTATTAAACTGTGTGCAAACTCCGGTCCTCTGAACGTCTGCTGCAGTTGCATCATGCTACCCATTGAAGGTTCACTTCCCAGCACCCCACCAGTCCAGTATTCACACTGAGTTCCAACTGCTGATGAGAACAAAAAATAGTATGTGAATTAAAACAGGAATATAGAGGAAAAAACATGTCTATAGATATTAGTGTCTTACCAGTCACAGTGGTTTGGTTATCATCTGAATCAGAGTCAATTGGACTAAAAACATGAATACCCTGAGTCTGCAGCTGCTGCAATTTGGCCTCCAGATCCCTCTTTGCACGCAGCAGATCTTGTATCTCTTTCTCTTTTGTCTCACGGAAAATCTGAATTCAAGTGAGCATCAAGTTAAAAAGACAGGACTTTGTGGGAAAACCCGCAATTTGCTTGACCTAATTGGATAAAAGCTATAATAAAAAACAATGTCACAAATACAACGTAGAGAGAAAAAAAAACGGGTTTATTTTTACCTTAAACTGCCGTTTCACCTTGTCCCTGTCATGTTCAAAGGTGGCAGCCCTTTCCATAGCTTGGTACTTTGCCTCAAGGGCAGCCTCCTTCTCTCTGAGAATCTTCTGGTAGGTTTTCTGAAGAGCCTGTTAAACCCCAACAGGACACTTTAAACACTCACCTCATTATATATGCTATATATCCATCTTTAAATAACTTTAACTAAACAGTATACCTAAAATACTATAGCTAATAGAACAAGAGTTGAAAGATGTACCAGCACCATATTATGATATAGACAAACAGTAATACAAATTTATCCTGATCACAACTGAGTCTAGTTCCACAGGCCACTATGAGCAAAACAAACATACAAACAAAAATAATAATAATAATACAGTAGGCTGCACTGGTGGATCTTTCTATAGCATTGTAATTTATTTCTGCAGCTGCATAGTGGTTTGACAGCAGCTCCACTAAGATATTTGCAAAAAACTGTTTTTAAAAAGTCCATAAAAAATTGAAAAGTAAATATATAATAAAGTATAATTGAATTGAATAAATGAGTAAGAAAGAGACTGGACCGGATGGTATCCGGTATATAGAGAAGTTTCAAACAGTTTGGACAATATTTTCATTTAACATTTTTGTTGTTATATACTTTAAATATTTGCTCTCTCTGTGCAAAAAGCTGCAGAATTTGTCTATATTCTCATAAAATCCCTCAACAACTTAGATTTGTTTATCCTAAATTATATTCTGTATCTATATCCGTATATATTTACATATGTGGACATCCTTATTCCTAATTCCCTGTACCAGTAAAACACTACTTGGCAGTAAGTTTTTTTCTAATTTTAATGCAACTGCTATAAATCTTGGAAAGTATTCTATGGGAAAAAGCCAGTAGTCAAACACAGGGGTGCAGTGACACTGATGATCTGGGACTGATCTATACAGTTATGTCAACTCTGTCCACTAATATAGAATCATTAAACAGTTTTTGCAGACATCAGTCTGTAATTGTAAGTCCAGACACACAGTGATCCAGATCACTCAGTTTGCTGCATTCACAGATGGCACAAATAGTGATCTGGATTTAGGGAAATTAATATTTTTACAAGGTAGGATGTTCAGACACTCCTTTTACATGGATGTCAGATGTTTCAAACATTGAACACATAGTTTAATAAATATGGAGGAGGGATACTTTGGTGATTTCAGTAACCTAACCTTTTATTTACCTGCAGCTCAGCTCTTAGCCTCTTGTTCTCCTCGTCAAGCTTGGCCTCCTTCTTCTGCATGGATGTGATCTCGTTATTCTTGCTGACGCGAAAGATTTCATACTCCTTTCGGAGTCTCTCATACTCTGCAGCATACTCCAGGTCCACGGAGCCCGTGGATTTGAAACTGGCCCCAATAACCCGAGGTCCACGGCGGAAGGAGCTGCGAAGGAGACGGGCTTTGGGCTTGACTTCAACGGGTATCTCACAGGCTTCCCCTCCCTCACCGCCGTATCCATCCTCGATCACCTCTCCTGGGCTGACCAAAGAGGATGCGGTGCCCATAATGGCAAAGAGCTAATAGATTAGCCTTTTTCTGATGAGCATAGCTGCTACCGAGCGGTGAAAAATGGGGATAGGGTGGACATTTTTTCTCATAACCGTCGAGAAAAAAAAAGACAATGATTTTAATTTCGTGACATTGTCAAAAAAATAGACTTTATAACGTAGACGTGACAAGCAACATAGATGTGACACGTAAACGCAACCAAGTGCCGATGTATTTATAGACGACAAAAATAAGAAAAGATACTTAACGCAACGTGGCCCACCGAGACATTGCTGCAGACAAAAACAAATAAAGCTGGAAAAAACATACGTTGGTAAATATGCTCTTGTCACAATATTGTCTCCTGAAAAAAGAAGAAATGAAAATTGTGAAGCTAGGTTAAACAAACAGGGACATAACGGTCCGCTCCCTTTTTCACAGCTTCCTCTTCGCTGCCTTGGTAACAAGCTTTGAATACGGAAGCCGCGAAAGTCAAAAAAGGTTTGTTTGGAGTTGTTAGACTTTTTCTATTCTCTTTTCTAATACAGACGGTGGCATCAGTAATATTATGTAGGGGAATGTTCAGACTTATTAAACATTTAACATTTTCATATATTAACAATAACTTTACAACACAAACACTGTGGTTAATTATGCACATCATATACTAACACTAAAGATGATAAGTAGAGAATTCACGCTCTTTTCAGAACTAGATTTTGTGTTATATGGGGTAAAGAGATAACTATGTTACTCTGCAAGTCATCTAGGAGTCTTCAGTGAAATCATAGATAAACACCTACTTTAATAATAACTTAAACATTTATTAAATGTGGATATTAGTACATTTAAATATCATTTTTTTGCAGAATGATTATTGATAAAAGTATGTAAAATATTTTCGCCCCAGAAGTCAAACCTGAAATAATTTTGTTCACTATACCTTTTATTTACACAGCATAGATGTTTAAAAATATGCATCTATTTGTTAGCAATGGCTGCAGGGAATATAGTTTCCTTTATATATAGTTTGTCTTTATTTAGAAAATATGGATGTTTGTGCTCGTTCCTGTTGGAACAGTGAAGATTGACCCTGAGGTTCTGGTGCCTTTCGGCCACCCCTGCATGTACATTGGTTATTGACTGGGCACCCCTATTAGGATTTTCTGGCTACACCTCTGAGCAAACCCTCTAATTGAATTATTTTTGCTACACTGGAAGATTGGAATATATGCTGCAATAGCCATTTGATCAAAGTGCTTATACCAATTTTATTTTCCCCATGTTTTATTAGACATGAATACAGTACAAAGATGCAAGAAGGAAGGTAAATATTATTAGCTAGATAATTCACTAAAGATAATTTACTAAATGTGCCTGTAAAGTTTTTGAGCACAGATCTCAATTTATACTTCCTGACCTGCTTTATGAGTCTAGTTCATGAAAAACAACTGAGATATCCCCTGCCCCCGCAAAGAGATGCTTATTGCTGATTTAAAAGAAAAGCAGTGTTGGACTCAAAGATTTCCCCTGAGAGCAGGTTGGTGGGTTACGCATTTCCTTCATTGTGACTGCAGATGCATCACACGTATCTGCTGCTGGTGTTGTGCAAGCTATGCCTTTTTGGTTAAATAATTCTCTTGGACAGCTCTGAGATATGCAACTTTAAATGCTGCAGAACTCCTTAATATTCTTAGCAGAGGTGTTTCTATATGTGAAATTGATTTGATGTAAAGTGAGGACAGCTGAATTCCTTTATACGAGGTAACCATTGTTGAGTCATTGTTGCCTCCCCTCATTGCAATAATCTGCAAGTTATATCAGCAATTTAGCTTGGGTGCCTTGCAGCTTCTCCATTGCTTAGATGACTTTACAAAATAAAAGTTCAATAATTTTCTTTATTAGACGAGAATAGAGCTAATATCTTTCTTGTAACTTTCTGATGTAAACTTCACCTTTAAGTAAGTTAAAACCACATACATTGTCCAAACTGCTGTCAACAGAAGTTAATCAAATTAAAGCACATAACCAAGCTTATATGAATAAAATTTTATCTAAAACATAAAAAGATGCTTATAATACAGGAAATATTACAATATAAAAGAGACAAAAAACACAACAAGGTTTTATTAGGATGTCGATCTCTAGCTTTGTAAAAGACAATAAAAATAGATGGGTTGTTAGAAATCCATGAAATTATCCGGTGATGGAGTGTTGCTTTTCTTTATCCTATATACATGGGCAAGTTGTTCCACCGAATAGAAGCCAAGACTCTGAAAGACAGCTCTGGTCTTTTTTTTTTTGCTAAGGAAAATGGAAAAGTTTAGGGTTATTCGTTTTGAGTGGTTTTGCAAAAGTTTTCCAAGACTTGCCTTAAATAAACTCAGGTCAGACTAAGTAGGCTTTATAGTATTTTAAAACAGACTTTTTTTATGCCAGATTTTATAATGGAAAAACTCTTTTGGCAACAGTGGTAAAATATAGTGCACAAGATATGCGTTTGTTACTATACCAATCTATGTATTGCATTATTAATATAATTTTTTTTCCCTAAATGATGCTATGATAACCCCCCCCCCTGCAACCCTCAGAGACCATAGCCTGAGACCATACTTCTAATACAAAAAGAGTATTCTAGCTAATTTTTTGTTCATGATAGAAAAAATAGATACAACACTTTTTCCTATCTAAGCACTAAATTACTTGTAATCTAGAAAAATAAAATCTAAATGCAATTAACACTAGGAAGTGCTGTTGTAATTCTTTCCATGCAAGAATTCAGATATCTATATTCTTTCATGGTTATTATTAGTTTTAGTATTAGGTCTATTCAATAAAGTACAAAACAATTAAAAACTACAAATACAACTTGACGTTTTTATACCTTAAGCAGAAAGAAAATGATGTTTTTTGTTTCAAGTCTTACCAATACCAAAAAAAAATAAACATAAGCGCTTTTTCTCTTTACCAAAATCACATGTAACCTCCAAAGGAAACAAATTAGTTGGGAAAGTTTTCCTATGTATAATTTAAACTTAGTATTGCAGAGAACATAATTGAATAAACACCACAAGAAAGGAAAACACAATACGGGTCAGGAGTAAAGTTGTAGAGAAGTTTAAAGCAGGCGTAGATAATAAAGTTTAATCTTGAGCTTTTAAAATCTCACCAAGCACTGTTTAAAAGATCAAAAGAAAAACAGAGTATAACACAACTGGAACCTGTGAAGTCATGGCCATTAACTTAAACTAAAATACCAGGAAAGGATAAAATTAATGAAGGAAACAGTTAAGAAGTCGATGGGAACTCTGGAGCTTAATCACTCTGGAGGAGTGATTAAGCTTTTTAACTCCTCATTTGCAGGGAGAGCACACAGTTAGGTGAGGTTTGTCGAGTTTTGTCTAGTCGCTGTCGGATGTGATGAAAATGTATGTATTTGGCCAACATCAAGAGATTCTGTCTCCATCTCACCCTTAACAAACCCTGCTGACAGTGAAACATGGTGGTGGGAGCATCATGCTGCAGGGATGCTTCTGTGAGAGTTGATGGGAAAATAGAGGGAGCTAAATACACATCAATCCTAGAAGACTTTAAAAGCAAGCCATTAAGCTTGATGTGCACAGGTTTTTTTCCTCAGCCTGAAATATTTGATCTATTTTGTAAAGAGAAATAGATACAAATATATTGTTTTTTAGATGTACAAGGCTGGCAGACATATACCCCAAAACAATCGCAGCTCTAACTAAAGTAGAAGGTGTTTCTGTTACATATGTTACATATAAGTAACTGGCACATATTTTTAACAAAACAATATTGAATACTATACCTGGTTTTTCATCTGTCTGAGAAAAATCTATCATAAAATTTAAAACATAAAATTCAAATAAAGTTAAATAAATAAAGTTAGCTGTTAATATAGATAGTTGCATCCCTTTCCATGCACTCCTAGACTTAAGAAAGATAGAAGTTTAGATTAAACATAAATGTAGCACCTCTAATTATGCGCAGTCTGGTGCTTTGTTTAATAATAAAAAAAGAATTATATATTTGCTTTAGCACAAAGCAGTAGATTCAAATTCTGAAAGATGCTTGGAAAAAAATGTGGAAAATTACCTATATCAGAATAAAAAATAACATCCATCAACAGACATCATTCAAGAAGCTTACAGACCATATTGTCTTGTTTTACAGAACAGGTGTAAAACTGTCTTTCTGTAAGCTTGGTTTAAGAAGAAATACATCATGGGATCCAGCACACCGCTAATACAGGTCAGCGCAGACGTGATCTGATTGGGTCTTCTCAATAAATCCAAGCTTCCACCTATCTGTTTAATGTATACCACCCTGCAGATGTGATAGGGAGCAAAAGCAAACAGGAAGTTCATCACTACGAGAATGATCATTTTTACAGCTTTGTCCCTCACAGGACGTCCTTCATGTTGGGTCAGGGTCCTTAGTTTCAAGAGAATCACTATATATGCAATGATAATGGTAATGAAGGGAAGAAGAAAAGCAACCATGGTGGAGATCAGAGCGTTGGATGATGTACTGTTTTCAAGGTACAGCATGTTGCACTCGTCATGGCTCACAGACATATTAGCTGAGGTGTTTTGATGGTGTCTCGAGAAAAGTGATGGAATCATAGACCCAATAATCATAGTCCATAGTATGGCCACAGCAACATTGGCATACAAAGGCTTCCTTACCACCTGAGACCGTAGAGGTAAAATCACAGCTAACAGCCTGTCCAGGCTGATGAATCCCATCAGGTAGATGCTGCAGTACATGTTGAGGTAAAAGAGAAAGCCAGACAGCTTGCAGAGGATAACTCCAAAGGGCCAGTGGCTGTCAGACAGGTGGTAATCTATGCGCATAGGTAAAATAAGGACATAACAGATGTCTGCAATGGACAGGCTTCTTAGGAAGACCTTGGAAGGTGAACTGCTCTTTTGTTGACAGAAGACCCACAAAGCCAGGGCGTTTCCAGGAACAGCGATGGTGAAGATAAGCATGTAGTACATGGAGAGGAAAACTACCCACAGTGACAGAGGTGTTCTGTCTTTGGTTACATCCTCTATGGAAATATTCATAGTTGTCATAATAGCACAGACCAATCTAGTGCAGAAAAAAAAGTGCATAGTTATCTTTCTCAGAACATACAGCTTTCAGTTGTATTAAGTGTTAACATCTGTTGATTTGGTGATTACAACTTACAGCTTATCAGAAACTAAATCCAGTTCCTTTCAACTTATTGCATTAAAATATACCCCAAAAAAGGTCTTATAAGACAAAACTGTAAGCCTATTGAGTGCATGTTTTCTGCAGGTTGGGTAATAGGCCAAGCATGGTACCTAAATGAGTTTCTTGGGTATGGGAGGAGTTTGAGCAAATCCCACAGAATTACCGTCTAAATTTTGCCTTAAATTTGTTCAGACCAATGATGTCTTACAAAAACTCCTCCCACACCAAAGAAAACTCCCACTTAAGCACTGAAGATATCCTCTAGGCTCTCCCTCTGTTTCATTAGGCTTTAACCTCCAATTATGCTATATTATTTGTGCTTTAGGAGCAGGAAGTTGAAACCTTTTCTTCCTTTTCGCTTTTCTAATGGCTGCAATATATCAAAACAAAGCAGTTTGGAAAAGAATGACATATTTAAGATTATGGATGAAATGTATGTATTTTCAATTTATACAAAACCTACACTATGTTGCCAAAAGTATTGAGATGCTCCTCGGATTCTATGCATTTAGGAGTTTCAATTACTTCTATGGCCACCGAGGCATGCAGATACACTGTAAATTTGCAAACCAATGGCTGAATCTAGGTTGACTGACTGCAAGAAGAGCCTAACTTACTTGACTGCTCTGTGCTTAGCTTAAATTAGGGTGGGGCATTAGTGACCAGGGTTGGGACCTGGATCCTTAGTTATATATAACAAAACTCTTCATTTTTCCAGAATATAAAGGGCAGTTGCACAATTATATGCTCACGCTTATTAAATAATACACCGAAGATATCTCCTTTCAGATAAAAAAAAAAAAAAAAAAAACTGCACCCTTCCACAAATAAAGTCTTAAAGATGCCAGGCAAATTCTAAGTGGAGACGTGACCGGGCAACACCAAAGTACTAACCCAAACCCGACAGAACACCTTTGTAATGATGCAAGTCAGCTCGTTCTTTCCAAGATTAAAATTCTATCTTAAAAAAAGGTCTAAGAGAGAATTTAGACCTTGAACTGTTCAGTCTGAACACTTAATCCTTAACCTTTTGTGCAGCATTCACTGAAATACCGATATTTTTATAGCGTGGAAAATATATTCAAATCATGTATGAAAATTGTCATGTCAATATACTATATGTGAAGCCAAGCATCCAGGCATTTATGGAAATATAATGTTCGTTGATAAACTGTGATAATAAAAATGTTCCTTTTTAAGAAAGGGGAACCGCTCTGTTCCTTCTTTTTAGCAAAGTATATTTGTGAGCTTTAAGTATCGCTCTACCTATTAGCCTCTGCCCCAGCTTCACTAATATTTTCTGGGATAAAGGGTGCAATGAAGCAGGTCTTTTAGATTAACCCTTTCGTATTATTTGCACATTAATGATAAAAAAAAAAAATGCTTAAAACTTCAAGTTATTTGACACATAGAATAAGACACAAAAACATAGGATACAGAAAAATAGCCAAAACTCTAACACTTAACTACATTTAAAGCATTTAGTTTTCCAATCATCCTACCTGTAATCGTTGTTCTAAAATCTGCTCAGCAAGACAAAAGGCTCCCTGTGTTTGGGTGAGGAACTGATAAGGGCACCCAGAAGTGAGAAGTCTAAAAGAGTGGCTTGTGGTGTTTCAACCTTTATACTAGCAGAAACCCACGTGTGAAAATTGCAACGTTAGGCAGGAAGCCAGGAGATTAAAAAAACTAAAAAAACAGAAAAAGGATCAGTGCACTAGAAGCATGCAGGTCTTTATTTGTTTATACAACTCCATCACACTTTTGCCTTTTATTGGTAATTAACATTATGATTTAAAGCTTTACAAAAAGAAAGGGGGAAGAAAACCAAGATATTTACAAAATCTATCTGTGCAAACATATTTGTGTCTCTTTTACATCACTCTCCTAAAGTATTTGAAAAGCATGCATACAAATAAACTTTGGTATGTTAAAAAAAAAAAAAAAAAAAAAAAAAAAAAACTTTTCTTAGTAGTTAGTTTTGCTGGTATGTACATATGGTTGAAGCGCTTTGTTTTCAGTACAGACCACATAAATGGAAAAACACTACAGAGCTTTTGACCACTGACTTTAGCCACCACAGCAAGAAGAGTATGCAGATTTCATAAAAGTTCATGATTGTTTTTTTAGGCATGAAGTGAGTCAGTATACAACCACTTTGGCAAATAGGCACAATAAACTGAAAACTTTCATTAATGATGACAAGAGCTGATAATCTGTTAAAGAAGCTGGCAGTTCATGTTACTTAAAAAATAAGAAAATACACCAGGAAAACTATGTTAATAACGACTCATCTTTAGATTTTGTATAAACTCTTTAAAGTTTGTTACTTTTTCTGTTCTGAACGTAAGAAATATAGAGGATTAAATATTCTAGTTATTAAATCTTTCTTTCCAAAATTAAAAACATTTACACAATATTTTGATTGCAAATTAACACTATATTTCCTATTCGTGGCTACAGGAAAAGAATAGATCCATTTTAATTAAATGCCATCATAATTAAAACCTTTCACTTCAACTAGTCAATCTACATTTTTGTTTTAGATACATCAAAATTATAATGCAGATTATTTGGTACACTTTCGATACAGAATAAAACTCTTAAAAAGTGTACTGATAATAAGAGGAAACATACAGTACGCAAATGCCAGTGTCAAAATATAAACATAGAGTGCATAACTTTAATAATACTTTCAAATAAAAAAAAAAAGAAAGGAAAAAACTATGTAAAGTATATTACATGGAATAGGTTTGGGTCAACCTGCTGTGCATTAAAGCACATGGAGTGATAATATGTCTAAGTTGTTTCCTTAGCTGCTGTGGTTGTTGGGATGGAGGATTTGCCGCTGCTGCCGTTGTGCGATCTGTAGCTGGTGAAGCTGGGGGTGTGTATGGTGCGGATGCTCTTTCCACCTGGGCCCAACGGTGTGGGAGACAGAGGGGAGGGGGAGAAGGAGGAGGAGGAGGATAATGAAGAGGAGGAGGAGGAGGAGTGCACTCGACCATTCTGAGTCTGTGAGGAGAACGAGAGAGCTTTACCTGTGTGTTGTGAAGGTGTGGGGAGTTTAAGGGATCCGTTAGACAGTGAGGGGATATGGGATGAGGGTAGGGAACCGGAACGGGAGTTGTGAGAGGACAGGACGGTCTTTGTCGCAGAGGGAGGAGCGGAAGAAGATGGGTTAATGGGATTAGTAGCATCTGAGTTTAGTACAGACTGGGAGCTGCCTTTAGCAGAGCTAGAATAAAAAGCAGGGATTTTAGAAATGGGAATAGTGGGGGAAGCAGTTTTATGATCCCCTCCCACTCTTTTAGCACTTCCATTAGCCTGCAAACAGATGCCAAAACAGATACTTGTTGTCAAAAAAACAAAAAAATGGTAACACAACACATGTAAGGCAAAGCAATGTTAAAAAAGAAAAAAACAACAACAAAAGAAGAAAAAAATAAACCTTAAAACTCACATGGACGAACATTATGGCTGCACATACATTAAAATCAATAAGGCAGAGCTAATAGACACCGAAATAAACACACAGCCAGAAAAATAAGCATTGAACATGAGAAGTTTTTCTCAGTTAATATTTTTTAATGGGCTTGTTGTCATCAAATTTACACCAAATGTGGACAAGCCAGGAAATAAGACCATAGATAAAGTTATACGGAGGGCCAGTACCATGAGATGTTTTTGAAGAAAATGCATTTATCATAACATAGTGTTGCTAGCAGCAACACCAAAAGTTAAACTTTGCTCTAGTCAGATTATTTCATCTCTCCAACATGATATATTGCATTTGTATGTCATTTGTCTGCAATCAGGTTTAAAACAAACAGAAGTGGGTGTGAATTTTGTTTGTTGTTGCTTGAATTCTCTTTTGCAGTTTATCGTTATGACGACAAAACCTCAAAGCTGGGTGGAATCTCAGTTTAGGAACGGAAATTTGGCAGTATTGGTATAGTGTCTAAATTTATTGAAGCAATCCTTCTGAGTAGGATCTCCATATGTATTAAATCGACCAGTTTTTTGTTGAAATCCAAGTTAGGAACTGCCGTTTTTATTTTTGGCTTTGAGGGGCTTATTACCAAATACAGACAAAAAAATTCCTGTTTTATATGTTTTTTTTTTAGATGCAAGAAAAGTTTTTGGCAGGGTAAACCATCAAAGGCTATTTACAAAATCAATCTAAAATGAGGTACCTAGCGATTTGGTGCTGCAGGCGTTTGACAAAAAAGTAACTTAGCCACATTATCCCTGTCAATGTGTCAGATGATGAGGACATATTTATAAGTGTTATAAACCCAGCCTAAACTCTGGCTTGGCAGTTTGGATTCTGCACAATGAATGTAAAACTGGCTCTATTCAGAGTGCATTGCACCCCTCTTTGCATTGCTCAACTCTGGACAAGATATAAGAAAGACAGTATGTGAAGGCTGCAGGTGGCCTAGTGATTATTTCTAAAGGAAATCAAGATGGACTAGTCTGTCAGAATTATTTATAAACACCAGAGCGAATACTATAAATACATGTTTTCATCACTTAACTAAACCAGTATAAGGAAATGATACCGCTGTCCCTCACAAGTGTCAAATGTAGTACCAGCCAGTGCCACACTCGAAACTACATGAGTATGGCTACATTACTGCTTTTAAGGATGAAGACCATAACCACTCAATTGTGTTCACTCAAACAATCAAGGTTAAAAGAAGTCTCTGTAACAAATGCAATCAATATAGCATTTTTTGACTGCTTCACTATAATTGTCTTCAGCCAGACTCTCATTCAGACCCACTGTAATGTTGACCAACAGGATATCCTTCCGGCCCATAGCCATAATCAGTTATAATTTACTTTGGAGGAAATTTGAAAAGTTTGTGTAGGAACAAGATTAATTTACAATAGGGAAATTAGAGGGGGAGTGGCGGCCTAGGGGTTGGGGCACTGCGCTTGGAATCCATAGGTTCTGAGTTCAAGCCCCACTCCAACAGACGGCCACTCTGGGTCCCTGAGCAAAGACCCTTAACCCCACATGGCTTCCCGGGTGCCGCACAATGGCAGCCCACTGCTCCCCAAAGGGATGGGTTAAATGCAGAGAGTTAATTTTGTTGCTTTGTACTTGTGGCAATGTAATTCTATTCTAGTTTAGTTAAGAATCTAAATCAAATTTGTTGCAAGGGTTTAGTTTTGATTTTTATATGTGTGAATTGTTTGGGTTTGTACAGGCATCTGATGTGTTTTTCAATCCATTAGCCTTTTTAGGAAACATTAACTGAAGAAAACATGGTGAAAAGTTCAACACTTATTTTTCCTGCTCTATACGAAAGTTCGTTTTTTTTTTTTCCAAGTACTGAGAGACACATTACCAAGAAAGTAAACACTGCAAGAGTTAGAGAGCCCAATGGCAGAAAGGAGTGTCTCTGTGTTAGCGGGAATGTTAGGCATCGTGAGAGGCTGTTAGAGAAAATTGAGAAGGCAAAGATATATAAGAACTGGAGTGAACAGAAAAAAAATATATATATATATATTAGGATTTTGAAGGGATGCAGCAGAGAGGAGAAACCATGGATTTGTACTTTACTGAACTGATGGTGCAATGTGAGTAGGTTATGTCAAGCTCCTGGTGGTAAGAAATCGTATCACCGTGGGGTTAAGGAAAATGAGCAGCGATGTTGGGTTTGAGCAGAGTTGCATAATAAGAAGGGACGAGCCAAAAAAAAGAAAAGAAAAAAAAAGTTAAATCTGTATTTGGACATTCCCAGAAGAATCGGAGGGTTCGGCAACACTGTTTTAGGAACTCAGCTGTGAGGGAGAACTGGAGATGTGATGACAACTCAGATGATGACAACACAAGAATCCACTTTTCTTTGCCTTTCTCCATTTTTTGTCAAGTAAGCCACCAACACAGTGAAAACCATGAGCAGTGTGGACATGCAGAAGCATACAGTACAGTGATGTTATGGGGTAACAGTCAGGAGTCAAACATGCCTTTGTGTCTTTGCAAATTCGAGATAAACAAGAACAGATCCACAGTGTCCATTGCTGTGACTTTAATTTGTATTTTTCACAAGTAATATCTCACAGCTTAGCCCCTCCCGCCTGCCTTTCCCATAACGTTTCATGCTCTCAGTAACCTCTGATCTTAATTCTGCTAGTCTCTGGGAAAACCCTACAGTAAAACTACCTGTCGAAACTGCCTCTGAGCGTCCTGCAGTTTTTGCTGTTTTCCGGCTTTGTCAGTAGTAGCCGGCGACTGTCTGGGCTTCGCAGACATAGGGACCGGCATCCGACTAGTAGGGGAAGCAGCATTGGTGTTCTGCAAGGGGATCCAAACGAAAAACAAAACAAGAAATAAAAAAAGGGTAGAAAAAAATACAAACCAAACAGGAAGCATCAGAAATCTAAACATGGGGAAAAGTTGAACACCTAAAAAACATAATAACAATATTCAACACCAGTGACAGACCATGCATCCAGAAAAACCATAAACCTCCAAGTCAGTATACATGTATAGGGCATATAGGGCATGCAGTTGAGAATAAGGAAGAAACGACCATCGTGACGATGCCTCTGATGATCAGTGCACCACTTGCTGAAACCCTCAGAGTTTTAGCAATTAACTGCAGGAGAAAGTTGCTAGTCAGACACCCAACAAAAAGACCACCCCAATCATGTCATCATGATTTCATCGTAGCAGAGAGCCACAGGGGTTGGTTCCAACATTTCTGAGCACCTGGAAAGGGGATTAATGACTCTGTAATTTCAGTGGTTAGGGTTGGAGTGAAGGTAGGTTGGAAAGTGAAGAAGAAGGACCCAAACTCTCCTGGACCAACAATAGCTAGAGAGAGACCTGTTGCATGGTGGTGGGCACTCTGAGCACAGTGTTGGCGTTGTTGGTGGTTGAAGGTGCGACAACAGGGCGAGGAAGGATCTGGGGTTTGGTCTTCTTCTGCAACGAACCTTTGCTGGCCAATTTAGGCCCATGCGCTCTAGAGGTAGGAAGAGAGGAAGACCTCTTCAACCCAATTAGATCTGAGTCTTTTCCAGTTTCTGACTTGTCTTCTGTGCTGACTGGCTCCTCTGGAGAGCATGGTCCCATTTCATTAATAGTAGTTTCCAGCTGTTTGATAGTTTGCTCAAGACTGTTAAGAGTCTTGTAAGTGTTCTTTCGGATCTCATTAGTTCTGCAAAGAGCGTCTGAGTTCTGGTCTTTCTGTATGACAGAAACGGATCCCTTGGTGGTCTCTGCAAATGATTTTGAGCGTGAAATCTCAAATCTCTTAGCTTCCTTGTGGTGCCGTACTGTGCCATCAGATTCTTCCTCATCTTCATACACCACAACCTGTAAAGTTTTCTTTCCAGATTTGCTGCCTGTGCGAATTGCTTGTGTTAGAGCAGCAAATTGTTTCTTGGGGAACTTAAACTTGAATTTCTTCTTCCCATCTTGTTTGGCATCTCCATTTGTCTCTGTGTATCCTCCACCATCTGTTAGTTCCGATATTGAAGATGCAGATGAGGATGATGATCCGGTGTGCTCCACAGTACTCTTCGTGGAGGTGATTTTTTCATCTCCCACTAACTCTGCATCTCCATCTTTCACCTGCGACCCAGTGCTCCTCTCTGTGTCTGACTCTTCACTCTCTTCATCGATGCGCTCCTCTGCAAGCATTCTCTCCAGTTCTTCCTCGCATTCAAATATGGTGGACAGACGCTTGTAAGCTGAGCGGATATCCATCGGCTCATTAAAAATGATGATTACAGGCTTCTTATTAAAGCCATTATCCTGTGGCTCAGTGGAATTGACTGTGGGGTTAGTTTTGTTTGAAGCACTGCCAACAGTAACTGTCTGGACACTACCTTTCTTGGCACTGACCAGTTCCTGGTACTCACCACAAGACAGCGGCTGAACCTTTTTGTTAGTGATCATAAATGCAATGTCAGGTGGTGGGGGCGGTTCTTCTCCAGGTAAGTCAGGGCTAAGACCAGTTCCATCATCGCTATCTTCAAAGTTTACTTGAGGTAAATCATATTTGCCACTTGCAGTCTTTCTAGGTGGAGGAACTTTAGGAACCTCTTTTACAGGATTGCTTGTTGTAGTTGATCGTTGCTCATGCTTTGTATTTTTAATTGAGGAAACATGCTCTGATGAAAGTTTGGTTTTCTTTTCAGTGTTTGTTTTGTTGAGTTTCTTTTCCTTCTGTACTTCTGCACTAGTCTTCAAGGACTCTGCACGTTTAACTTGCTTTCGTGGCAGTTTGAATCCGTTGAGTCCAGTGGGTTTAGGTGATATCGGTGGAGGTGTTACAGACGAAGGTGATTTTGGTGGTGGAGACATGGGCTGCATCTGCTCTTGCTGCCATGCAGAATTGTCATTAGCATTGACATTTGACACCTGTGTTAGAGGCTGTGAGGGCTCCTTGTGTTCTCGGGTGTCTTCAAGTCCCGATGGAGGTGGTTGATCTTTTGGAATCTGTCCCGTCACGTAATATATGACCTGTCAACATGAAATTCAAAGTACTGAATAACATTCAAACCCTTTAAACTCTAGCATGAATATTAAGTAAATTGGAACTAAAGGTTTTACATACCCCTGGACTCTGTCTTGTAGTACTGTTCCCATTTTCATCTGTATCTGGATCTTTATCTTCTCGACTTGGGTCTGAGCTCTGCTAGGACAATGTGTGAGGGAGTAATATTATTGTGCAACTTGTGTAACAGGTTGCAACAGGTCAACTTTAAATAAATCTAATATCATCTTTAGATCATTGAAATTACTATATTCCTTTGATTCACATTACTTTTTTACACAGTGGGGGAAGTGCTAATTGTGTATGTTTGCTCTAACATGGAAATAAACTGTCTACTTTATATTTGTACTGCAGTTATATTATAAGAGATAAAAACATTAACCCAAAATCCTTAATTACATAACAATGCGTCTTAAAGCCATTAACTAAATAGGTATTTTGTTCACATAAAATGGTATCCGTACCTGCTGCAGTTCAACAAAGCCTTTTAACCTGCTATTAATTGATATCAGGTGTGTGAAAGCTGTGAACATTTCTAAAACATGCAGGCCATTGTACCTTGAGAGCCAATTGTAGCTTTTTAAGAGCTTGCACTCAAAATTCCACTTAGCAAGTAAAAAACTCAGCCATTGTTAAATATAAAGGAGTGGACAATATTCCACTTACATCTTTCTTATTGAACTATTTCTAAGAAATTCTTCACATCAAGCAATAAATGTTTGATTTCTTAAGCAAATATACCTGGCATGTAGTATGGATATAATCCATCTATTAGATTTTAAAAACATCCCATAATTCCTTCAATAAGCTTTTCAATACTTATTTTTTCCTATATTACAACCATGAATATAATGATTATTTGTTCTCCGTTAGCCACCCTTTCTACCAATTAAATTATTGACAATACCTCTACAAAACTAAACCTTTTAAATGCTCTTGCTGGAAAACATGTATCTTCTTGAGAACAAGTTTTGTCAGCATTATAGAGAATGTATTTTGATTGAAAATAGGTGTGGAGCTTGGAAAAGCAAACTGAGGTAAAGTTGTGCAAGGATAGAGAGATTGGGAAGTTATACTTGAGAAATTAAGTGTGGGAGGAAGAGCATGCAAAGTGGCCAGAGTGACCTTTGGTGAACCAAGTCTGCAAAAACACATTTTGTCCATAAATGTGAGGTTTAAGAATGCTGGTTATCCAAATTGTCAAGAATATGAAATCATTTTCTAATAATTGTTTTCTTTCCTTACACTTTTGTCTTTTATATACTTTTATTTGATTTTTCTCTGAACAATTGTCATTAAAAAAAGACACAAGACAGTTGAATTGCCCATAACATACAAGGTATATTACAGGTCTTTATTGATTGGGAGAAAAAGACAAGAGTTAAATCAGTCTTGACATAAGTAACACAAGACACACCAGCACAATTTTATGCAGACTTAATCCTGAAAAATAATCCAAAGCTTTGAAAATCCAGCAGAGTAAAACAAAGGAAGAAAATAAAGCAGCAAGGAAAGGAGTTTTGTGCTGAAAGTTGCTATAGATTTCTTTGGAGCCAAAGCAAGAGAACATGGGTTGTAGAAGTGTTGGGACACAGGCAGTTAGTGCATCACACAGCTGGTGGAGGCAGGCAGTTAGTCGGGCAGCTGCACGGCGGCACACATGTTACCTTTTTGTCTTTGAGGGGCAACAAATTCCCTGGTCTTAGCTCTTTGATTTGGGGTTCAATTCGATTGGTGGGTTCAACCAAATTTTTTTTCTCTACATCCTTAACTGTGCACTTCTGGAAAACCTGAAGGTTGGAAACAAGTCAAAGGGACATGGGGACAAAGATTTTCAGGACGGGATGCAGACTTTATGCACCACAGCCACAGCTGTAGCAACTGTTGACATGTGACAAGGAGGATCCTTTGTTTTTCTGAATCCGTCAGCAGCCAGCTCTTGCCACTCCAAATAAATCAACCACCAAAGCGATAGGCAAAAGGACCCCCAGTGTGCATAAATCAATAAGCCCACCTCACATGTTAGCCAGGATATGTATGAGTGCGAGTTTGAGTGTTTACATGCATCTAACCTGAAGTTCGGCCATGATCTTGTCCCCTTCGTCCTCCTCTTGTTTGTTAACAGAAGCAGTGATAGGAGGAGGTGTGATAGGTTTCGGCTTGGTCTCCGGAGGAACCTTACTGGGCTTCAGCTGAGGTGATGGAGGAGGAGCATGATCCTCAACTTCCTGTGAGGGTAAATTAATCCAATCCACAGTAAAGCAGCAACAATGATTAAAGGTTTCAGGCCGGTGTTCTAATTATACAAGTTAGCATGTTGCATGATAATGACAGAAACTTGAAAAGGGAAGCATTAGGTTTTCTTTAATGTATATATTCTTAGCACATGCACAGAGCCTAAAGAGAATGTCATCATGTTTACAACATGATCCATACTTAGTTCAATGACATATTAACTACTTAATACCAACCTGGGCTGAGATGCTCTCCTTCCGAGCTGTATACACCACCTCTCCAGAACGTGTGGTAGTCATGCCTGAGCTCGAGCTGGAGAAGTTTTTTCTTGGAGGAGGGGGTGGTGGAGACTTGTTTGATTTGTCAGACCCCTGTTTAGTGAAATTGTCTGTGACTGCTGGCTTAAATGTAGTCTTTGGGGATGCTGGCTTCATGGATTTCTCCGTTAAAGGTTTTGGAAGTCTATCAGACCCCTTCTTGGCAGGTTTTTCTACTCTAGGCTCCTCTGCAATACACATTATTCAAAAATATAAAGCTTAGTAAGTTATTATTAAGCATAAAATGACACAAAGTCTTTGTGTGTTCGTTTCATTTGTACCTGCTGGTGACTCAACCGGGCTGGTAATGTCTCTCTGCTCTATTATACCAGCAGAGGGCATCATTTGGCCTTCCTCAACTTCTAAGTTTGGAATTCCCTTCATCATATTGGCCTGGGCCTCTTGAAGGATCTTGTCAAACTCTTTGCCATCATAGTGACCCATATTTTGCCTCCTCTCTTCCCATTCCTTCTCAGCTGCCTACAAGTTTTAAAAAAGAAGATAGAAAAGTAAATCTTCAAAAAAAAAAAGAAGTAACTAAAGACCTTTAGTTATTAGTTATCTGACCAAATAACTGATTTGATTTAAAGTTTCTAGATATCTAGATGTAGATAGCCAGATGGGTAAATTAATGCCTAGATAAGGTATCCTGCAAAAGTATTTAATTTCCTTGAATGTTTTAACATTTAACATGTAGAAACCGCTGAATTTTATGTGACAGATGAAAAACAGTGCATTATTGCTAAGTCTTGCAAGACTGCAAGTCTTTTGGGGTTTCTAAAATTACAGCACTTAGAGATTGATATTTCAGCTCACTCTTATGGACAAAAGCCTTAACTACAGTCTGATTGGACAAAATGTATATTTATACTTGTTTTACGTCTTCTGTTTATACCTCAATTGTGATTTGCAAATTGTAAATTTGACTACTTACAGATTTGTTTTAGAAACAACTGTTTTCACCAGTCTCTCAATAAGACAAAGCTGATATGTGGTTCTATGCAGGTTCTCAGGAGTTACCATGGGTTTCTGTTTCTCTGTAATTAATGCTATCTTTGTCTAGCCTGTCAGTTTAGGTGGATAGCCATTTCCTGGTAAGTTAGCAGATCTGCTAAACTCCTTACATTGTTCAGATAATGGATTGAAATATAGCTTGGGAAGTATTTAAAGATTGGATGATTTTCTACATTTATCCCTGACTTTTCTGCTGCTTTTCTTGTTTTCCCTGAAGCTTTTGTTTAATCAATATACTTTAATCTATACCTTTTTAAAATAGCTGTACTGTATTTATAGTTAAATTAAATGACACATTTAGTCTACACTTGGCTGCACACAATTTTAAGTAGGGCTATATAAGTAACAGAAGCTTTAAAATAAAAGCATTTCTTATGAAAAAACGGCTATTCTTTTTTTTTTTTTTATTTACAATTATGAACCACTTTATGCTCCTCTGTAGCATAACCCCCCACCCTCCTGAAAAAATGCAATGAAGTCTGTGGTGTTAGGTGAAAAATGGGGTATGAGCATTTTGAAGATACACATTGAAAAATAAGAAAATAGCCACGCATACCTCTATGGACATAACTCTGTTTTTGCTTTTCTCCTTTGTGTTCTGGAGCTCCTCTATTATGAGATTCTGCGGAGGAGCACCGTTGCCATTGTTCACAAGATTCCCATGAATCTTCTTCAGACGAGCAGGACTCTGTGAGTCCATGATGGCCCCTTTTGGAGATTCCCGGTCTTGAGGTTTACTCAAATTGGGACTTGGAATCTGAGTGGGGCTAGGAGTGAGGGGAGGACTGGGCTGAGTTGTGAGGGTGGCAGATTGCTGGGACTGCTGAATGAGAACTGGGGAACTCTGGATATGATGGATGACCGGCGGGGAAGAGGGCATCACCTCGGACCTGATGGTGGAGCTCTGTGGCTCTGTTGGAGCTGAAGAGGGGACGAGCTGGGCTGAAGCTGATGTAGCTTCTGAAGTGGCTCCTGCAGCTGTCGTATGGCTGTTACCCAATGGGACATTAATGGAAGGATCACAGCCTTTCTGAGAACCCTCAGTTGCATATCTGCAGAGGGAGTGAAATTATATTTGATACAGATCATACAGAAATTATGTTTAAAAACACTAGATGTAAGCTATTTCTTTTTTAAAGATACAACTTATTGATGAGCAAAAAGCCAAGACCAAGTTAGGCATGTATGAAATATTCAAATGGATACAAGGTGTTCAGGGTCCACTAGATTCGCTTGCTGGTTCAGTAAAGGTGATGAAAGAAAATCAAATTGGATGCCAGATTCTTCTGTTCACACAGTATCACCTCTGATAGCATGAAGGCCGTATAATCAAGTAGCATTATCTCCCACGTCAGGCTCATGTGAGCAGCTCTGTACAGGCCTTTTCCATTTCATTTTAAATTGTCCCCTTCAGACACTTAGCATATATACTCCTGGAACACCTGTTCACCTGATCCCTACTTTAGCTGGGTTCTTCCTCCTACCTTCTCAGGCTGCTGAGAGTCTCGGTCAGGCTCTTGACCCGCTTTAGCATGCTGTCGAGTTTGTGAGGCTCCTCCTTCAGAAATTTAACAGCCTCCACTTCCACTCTGAGCACAGCCCGCATTCTGGTTTGCAGGGATGGGAACTCTCCTGAAGTGTGAGAACAACACAAACACTTTTTAATCTTTTGTATCAAATGTTTGTAGAAATATTACTAAGCATGTACATAGCCCCACCTAAGCAGTGACTTTCTCTTAGGGCTAAAACAATTGTTTCTCAAGGTCGTGATTAATCAATTATTGTAATAATCAATTAATAGTTAACTGGAGTTTAGAGACTGTTATATATTTTAAGAAAAAAAAGTTTTTTCATCTGTCAATATGTTCTTGTTTTAGCTTCACCTGGTTTAATTTCGTAGAAGTCTTCCATAAGGAACCTTTGGCAATCCGATTATTAATCGAAAAAATAATCGCCAGATTAATCAATTTGTAAAGTAATTGTTAGTTGCAGCCCTAGTTTCAATGTAACAGATTACCATAGTAACATACGTCATATGTTAACACAACACATCTCTGTTCAGCTGAATTCTTTGCTATGTCAAGGCGTTGAATGTCAATGCTATAAGTTTTAGTTCAGTTCAGTTCATTTCTGTAAAATAGGCTCCCAATTTATTGCAGTCGATTTTTGTGTAGATTAGTTTCTTTAATTCAGTTCCATATAAACTAATTTTGATGAAATTCAGAGCCATACAATTCAGTTCTGTTTGAACTTGATCACTGTAGGTCTTTTTACTTGAGCTCTTTTCAACTGAATCTAGTTGAAATCAAACGCATTCATTTAGTTCCACAGAAGATAGCAAGTTACCAAATTAAATCCAACTGCCTAGAGCCCAGTTCAGTCTAATTCTAGATCAGACTGGAATCCAGTTACAGTTCAGTCAATCCAACAATGAATACCCTGCATATTTATAATAACCCTGTTGGTTTCAGACTTTACAATCGTTTTAAAGATAGGTCATTCTACAATCTTAATTTTTTTTTATTTCTTTATATTATTACTGATGCTTATTAAAGTCCAAATTTTCAAAAGTTACCATACTAGACTAACAATGTTTTAGTTTTACCACTACTGCTAAATCTGACAGCTTATCACTCTGTTACAGCTTATGCTAAGATTAAAAGAAACAACAAAAATTAGTTTATTTTCGAAAAAAGAAATATGTCCTTCATTTTACCTTTAAGGCCTGTCAGTGACTCTCCCACCTTCCTCAGATTAACTGCTCCCTCCTCCACATCCTTTAAAGTCACCGTCTTGGTTGCTGTTGCCGAGGCCTTTTGCAGAGACCCTACGTATTGCTCGAGCTCACTAAAGAAACAGCGGGAAAAAAATGGAGTTCAAATTTTTAAAGAAATACTTTTTTTTCTTCATACAGTGTGTGAAAATATATATTTTTATTGTAACAGGAGGGACAACAAAAGTCTCAGCTGTTTAATTCTGCAAAAATAATAAAAATAATGCAGAATATGCATATCAAACATTACAAAAGCCAGGGGCAAGGTGTAGTATTTCATAAACTAGAATGGGGGAACAGAGGTTGGAGTGATAACAGAAAGTAATAAAAAAAAAAAAAAATCCGAACTGTAAATTTACAGTCATATGTTTATATTACTGTTTATATACCGGTATATATATATATATATATATATATATATATATATATATATATATATATATATATATATATATATATATATATATATATATATATATATATACACCGGTATATAAACAAGTCTAAGTCTAACACGAATCTAGGAAAAGAGAGTGTACATTATGACTACAGCATGATCTGAACACTAACAATAATAGTACAACATTGAAATCCATCACAACAATATGATTATTACTTAAACTTTGCTTTGTTGGTCTGATCATTTGAGGGCTTTTTTAAAGGTCAACCCAGAAGATGGAAAATTTTTTACCAAGCCATCTGAGCAAACCCAGGGGAAAATGTGCTGAATAATAACATTGTGTGACACGGTTTACATGAGAAGTGCTAAAATTGTGTTTCATTGTGGTCAGGTACCCTGGAGAAACACCCTATTATGAACCTCCTCTATAGGGACAGTGAACTGAATGCCCGGCTATGCCAAGGCCAGCTGGAGAGGGGAGCCATAGAAATTCTAGCTTGGGAGTTTGAAAACCGATTTTTCTTTTGTCTCAAAGATGATCTGCATTTCCTGAGCCTAAACATTTCTGATTTTTGCCTCCTTTCATATGATGCTGAACCTATTTCTTTTACAAGGTCCAGGTCTTACATTTTAAACATTTTAAATCGGAAATATTTGAAAGAGTAAAACATAACACTGCTATTCATGTTGTGCTACTTTCAGACTCCATTATCACACACAAACTAAAGCAGAAACGTCCTAATTACCACACCTTTACTTAAAGAGACAATATTCAGGTATTACAATATTAGACAGCCAATCCAGTGCAAAGTCTGCAAAGTCCCTCTTTAAGAAGAAATCATTCACTACTACTACTGGGAATAAGTTCCATAAGTACCTTGTAGGGCACAGTAAGAGCAGTAGAAATTAAATTAATACATATCTATTCAACTAATTGAATTTTTTTATGACAATAATAAACTTAAAATGAATAAATTTTAATTCTATATAAAAACAATACAAAATGGTACTAAATGAATGAAGGAAAAGAAAAATGGCACATCAAAATCTGAAAATGACAGCATGAATTTGCATTTAATCCCTGAGCAAATATTCTGTGATGCCACCTTTTTGCATGAGTTACAGCTGCAAAGCTTTTAGGTAACGTCTCTATTGGCTTTTTAATATCTGAACAATGAACATTAGTCCTTTTTCTTGCAAAACAGCCAAAGCTGGAGAGACAGCATTTATGAACAGCTTTTTTTTTAGCCCTGTCAGTTGGATTTAGGTTTGTTCAAACACATGAAGATGGTTTCTGAACTATTCAATTGGAGATCTGTTTACGTGCTAAACCCCAATTTATGTGTCCATCTCTGCTCGGTTGCAAACTCCGCCGTAAATGCACACCCATTAAAATCAATGAGAGTATTTTCATTGCCTGCACATGGTTAGGCAGGACAGCTGCCATCCAACAAAATTCCCAGTTAGTTTACAGAAAACACAGCATTATTTCAACAATTGATTGCACACTTGTAAAAATCCTACTTTTGTGTGTAAAACTGCCTGTTTTGTTCTCTTCTCAGGTTAAAAAGCGGTTACTGTATCTAGTTTTTCCTGATTTTTTATTTTTTGTTTGCTAAGCCAGGAACCGTGGGAGAACTGAAACTAGTAGCTCAACCCTGGGCAGCTGTTCTGTGTTGATCCTACACACTGCAGTTTACAGTGACTGACAATAAATGTAATAAAATCATAATTTCACTTATTCTCTAAATTTAAGTTCATTCATCTTGGATAAAAACAAGTCTGCATCATCCGCTATTTAAGTAAAATGTGAGCAACATGACCTAAAAGCTACTGGAAAGAAACTTGCTTTTAAGAAAAAAAAAATAAAATACAATAGAAAATGCAATAAAATCGGACAAAAAAAAAAAAACTCGTCTTTTTAGTTTCAAGTAACGATTTGGAACTTATTTGAGAAACTTATAAAGTTCTGTTCATCCAGAGTGTTTAGATCAGATATTTTTTGACAGTCAACATGAGAGCGTATGTGGGAGGAGGAAACAGCCGGACAGAACCTCAGAGCCAGAGGCTCAAACAGGTACAGCTCAGGGTTCTCTTCCCTCTCTCGTTTCCTCCATCTGGTGAAGATGGTGAGAAAAGATCCGACTATGCTGTTGTAAAAGTATCATCGTCACAACTGCTCTGCTCAGCACATTTATTTTGCGGTGCCATTGTGCCACTGTCAATCAAGGCTAATTTTGCGCCCGGTGCACCCTGCTTTCATCGTTCCTCCAATTTACGCCTACTACGGAGCATTGTTCAAAAATCACATATGGGCAGAACTCTGTATCTGGAGTGACACTTTAAAGACCTCACTTGATAATAAAGGCATTTGCATATTTTAATTGAAGTGTTACTGTTAGCAATGTTATACCAATTTGTCATTTATCATTTAACACTCCTAAAAAAGCAACAAATATATAGCTTATCTGTTCTCAGTATAAGCACCAATTGTACAAACTAATGAGGGAAATTATCTGGATAAAAAAAAAAAGGAAAGTAATTTTATCTGTTTTAGATTTAACAGAAAGAGTAGTTTTGGTTTGACCTCATGCATGCTCCTCAAAATACCTCTCGGCTTTGTACCACGGTGGAGCGGAGTTAAACGCAGGGTTTAAATTCAGGGTTAGGATCTTTTTTCTAGTGGAAGGTCAATCTATTTCAGAGCCTCCAACAGATTTTCTGAGATGCTAAATGCATGGATATTATTTTCTCAACCAACTGCTATAAACTTTTCGAGAACTTTGCTCTTGACTTGTTTGCTGTGCTCCTTGGTATTCATTGTGATGCTTGTTTACTGACTTTCTCTTATCAATATCTGATGTCCTTAACATAATAGCTGTATTCATGCTGTGATTATATTGAATTGAGTTACACATGTTATGATAAACGCAGCCCGTTGCACATAATTGTATAATTTACAGACAAAGTGAAGGAAATAATTTCTTATGAAAAAACGTCCTGCAGCTATTCGGTTATGCACTACTTTGTTTCTCTCATTTTATGGATTCTCAATAATGTCATTGAGTTTTTAAATGTAACAGGAATCTGAAAAAGGTTCAAGAGGTGGGAATATGTTAGCTAAGAACAGTGCTGATTAAGCTTAGGGCTGTTTGACCTTGCCTTGTAAACACATCTAAAATAAAAGGATTTAATCAGAGATCTCTGTTGGGATGAAGAGGCAAGTGAATTAAAAACAGGAGCAGGGTAATCAGTAATTACTCTTTTGTTCTAGTCTGGAGCCTCAGAAGCAAGGGCAGAGCTTGCCTGTATGAACCTGTGAGTTGCAAAGGATTTTAAGGGTGTGGCTTGTCTCAAAGTACAAGACTGCATGTCTCAGGTGAGCTGACAAAGATGAACCTTTGGGGGAATTTCCTGCAAATAGAGCAGTGCTGATTGGAGGTGTATGGGTGTGTCTGCTCTCTGCAAGAAGGCTCAAGAAATCCTTTAATACAGGGAAAACACATCTTGTGTGGTTTTGGATTGATATCTACAAAGACACTTTCAAAAGTGAAGGAACTTTTGATTGTTTGGGGGTTTCTTTACTTTTTTAATGGTTAACAGGACAGCTGCTGAGTTATTTAGCTCAATAAGATATTTCATCATGGTTGTGCTTTTGTTTTCAGAAAAATGTGGTTTGGGAATGTCTTGCTGAAACACCCATGTGTTCCTCTGAAAAGGAGGCTGTCCGAAAGGTAGCGTTATCTCTGTACCACCCCAGGTGTTCATACAGTAGCTGATTCAGCTTTAGTTGTTTATAGACGGTGATGAGTGCTAAAATACAAAAATAAATAAATATCTTTCAGATTACTTATTACCCGTATAGAACCCACGCATGCTCAGGGAGAACATGCAAACTCCATGCAGAAAGACCCTGGAACGGGAATCAAACAAACACTGCAATATGTATGGATTCTCATCATTATAATGATTTTGAATCCTCATTAAATCCTTCACTCTTTTACATTTTCTTTTTCCTAACTTTCCCAACCAATAATTTTCCAACTAATAGAATACATAACTAGCAAGCTACGTGTTACAGTTATAAAAGTATTTATTCGTCTAGAGGGTGTCCAACTTGACTAAATTAAGCCTAATTTACAGCATATTTATAGGTTTACCAAAGTACTATAGAAATACAAACTAAGTGCACTGCCACTTAGTTTGTATTTCTATAGTACTTTTCATTTGTCACCCATGGTGAAGTGCCACAGAGATATTATGGTACAAACTCACTGAGAAGATTTGCCACATCACAACCAGAAACCTCAATATATTTTAGTAGGACTTTATATAACCAGTCCAAAGCAGCGGATAATTTCAAAGAAAAAGGAAAATGAAAATCTAAAAAGCATCACTTGCATTTATGTCCAAATTCCCTGATACAATACTGGGTTAAACTGCAATTACAGCTCCAAGACATTTGGGGCATATCTGGATGGAAAGAATCTTTGAACATCAGTTTTCCTGTGTTTTTACAGATTTTGAATGAGATTTAGATCTGGGTCGTGCTAACTAGTCTAATCTTTTCATTTAAACTAGTTGTCCTCGAACCCCTTTTTATCATGGGTGACAATTGCAAAATTTCTAAGTTACAAAGTACCATGTAGTTTTTTTTTCTTTCTTAAAATTCCCCCTTTAATTTTCTCAAAACCTTGTATATTTTTTCTATTCTCCATCAGGTGTTCTTCAAGAGTAGTGTTTTTCATTAATCTGTCTTTATCAACTGACCAAATTAATGCATCTCCACAGCCTTGGCCTCACACTGAGCTATCACTGGCCTCTTGCTTTTTTAGATTAATATCTTAGCCAGGTGTGTTAGTTTAGGTCTACTGTCATATATTCAAAAAGGTGGATTGCAATCACTAATTACGAAACTCAATTACTGTACAATGGGATACCCAAATAAATGGGAATAATTACAGATACAGCCACACTTTTCAAAGCTGTTGTTTCTGTTTCTTTGTCCACATCCTAATTACATGCTATCTTGTGTTGGTCGATGATATAAATCTGCAATAAACTATACTAAAGTTTTTGGTCAGAATGTTACTAAATATCAGTGTGAAAAAGATGTATGAAAACGTATGCAAAGAAAATACTTGGCAAAATCAGCCTTAAAAAATGAAGGGAATAAAATGCATAACATTTGACACAGTCCTTTTATTTTAACCCATTCTAATAAACCTAATATTTAAAAAAAATTTTTATTTTTTTTTATTTTTGTTATGAAATGTCTCAATCTTACCTCAGCTGCATGAGGACATGCTCCTCCAGACCTAAGTACTTGTGCCTGTCCTCCTCTACCAGAGCTCTCTGTCTCTGGACAGGGTCTTCCACTCGCCGCATGGCCTCTGTGAGTTTAATACTTATTTCCTGCTCAGCCCGCTTTAGCTGAACTCGTAAAACCTCCTGATTCTGGACCTGGAGGGGATGTAAACAGTTAAAGAAGACACGAGAGGACACCCGAGATCAGCATTGTCAATGAGTGCAAGTCAGAACTCTAACCAAAACAGTAAAACTGAAGAGAAAGGACATGGAGTTCTTGCCTGGAGCTGTCTCATTTGATGGAGTTGTACTCTGAGGTCCGAAACATTCTCCCTGAACTGAAGGAGGTTAACTTTAAGTGGGGATAAGCTCTTGTCTGGTGGGGAGGAATTGGCTTTAGGTGCCAAAACAGTAGATCCACCTGTTGCAAAAAAAAAAAAAAAAAATGGAAAAGTTTTCTTAACATTTTTAGGATTTCTGGGAAAGCTTTCATCATCTCAAATGATTAGAAATTAAACCAACACACAAAAAAATCAGTAAGATTACTAAATATTTATTTTTTTCTCAAACTTAAATGCCAGGCTACAGGGTAGCTGATATTTTCTAATAGAAAACTGCAGTAAAAAAAACTTTAACCCAGACAGATCAGAGACCATCCTGACCTATGACGCATAGTGTGGAATTAAAGTTAAAGCATGGACCACAGAGGTGGTTTATTAAAACTTCTCAGAGGATCATTGGTTCCCCACCCTCATGCCTTGAAGGGATCTAACTGCACTGTGTTTTCCAACAGGCTACTATGATCGGGGATGACCCAGCCAACCCTCTTTTCACCACCCTTTTCTCTGGCAAGCTTTATTTTTATTTTAAATATAAAGATAACTAACCTCTTTTGCTAAAGGGCAATACTTTGACATTTCACAAGGCTTCAGCATTAAGAGAAAGTTCTTTAGTTCCATGGTGCAATTTCTCTAGATTAAAATCCATCTATACCCTTTAAAATACTATTTTGTTCCACTCAACCTTTCAGGTTTTCTGTCATGGTTTTGGTTCTCTTTTTCATTGGTTTCATTTCCATTTTGAGTTGTTTTCTGGTTGTATTTGCGTTTTTATGTACAGGTGCTGGTCATAAAATTAGAATATCATGAAAAAGTAGATTGATTTCAGTAATTCCATTTAAAAAGTGAAACTTGTATATTATATTCATACATTACATACAAACTCATATATTTCAGATGTTTATTTTGTTTAATTTTGATGATTACAAATGACAACAAATGAAAATCTCAAATTCATCATATCAGAAAATTAGAATATTACTGAAGACCAATAAAAACAAAGGATTTATAGAAATGTTGGCCAACTGAAAAGTATGAACATGAAAAGTATGAGCATGTACAGCACTCAGTATTTAGTTGGGCCTCCTTTGGCCTGTATTACTGCAGCAATGCGGCGTGGCATGGAGTCGATCAGTCTGTGGCACTGCTCAGGTGTTATGATAGCCCAGGTTGCTCTAATAGTGGCTTTTAGCTCTTCTGAATTGTTGGGTCTGGTGTATTGCATCTTCTTCTTCACAATACCCCATAGATTTTCTATGGGGTTAAGGTCAGGAGAGTTTGCTGGCCAATTAAGAACAGGGATACCATGGTCCTTCAACCAGGTACTGGTAGCTTTGGCACTGTGTGCAGGTGCCAAGTCCTGTTGGAAAATGAAATCTGCATCTCCAAAAAGTTGGTCAGCTGCAGGAACCATGAAGTGCTCTAAAACTTCCTGGTATGTGGCTGCGTTGACCCTGGACCTCAGAAAACACAATGGACCAACACCAGCAGATGACATGGCACCCCAAACCATCACTGACTGTGGAAACTTTACACTGGACTTCAAGCAACGTGGATGAAGTGCCTCTCTTCTTTTCCTCCAGACTCTGGGACCTTGATTTCCAAAGGAAATGCAAAATTTACTTTCATCAGAGAACATGACTTTGGACCACTCACCAGCAGTCCAGTCCTGTTTCTCTTTAGCCCAGGCAAGACGCTTCTGACGCTGTCTGTGGTTCAAGAGTGGCTTGACACAAGGAATGCGACAGCAGAAACCCATGTCTTTCATACGTCTGTGTGTGGTGGTTCTTTAAGCACTCACTCCAGCTGCAGTCCACTCTTTGTGAATCTCCCCCACATTTTTGAATGGGTTTTGTTTCACAATCCTCTCCAGGGTGCGGTTATCTCTCTTGCTTGTACACTTTTTTCGACCACATCTTTTCCTTCCCTTCGCCTCTCTATTAATGTGCTTGGACACTGAGCTCTGTGAACAGCCAGCCTCTTTAGCGATGACCTTTTGTGTCTTGCCCTCCTTGTGCAAGGTGTCGATGGTCGTCTTTTGGACAACTGTCAAGTTAGCAGTCTTCCCCATGATTGTGTAGCCTATAGAACTAGACTGAAAGACCATTTAAAGGCTTTTGCAGGTGGTTTGAGTTAATTAGCTAATTAGAGTGTGGCACCAGGGGCCATCAATTTTGAAACTTTTCACAATATTCTAATTTTCTGATATGATGAATTTGAGATTTTCATTTGTTGTCATTTGTAATCATCAAAATTAAACAAAATAAACATCTGAAATATATGAGTTTGTATGTAATGTATGAATATAATATACAAGTTTCACTTTTTAAATGGAATTACTGAAATCAATCTACTTTTTCATGATATTCTAATTTTATGACCAGCACCTGTATTTCTTGTTTAGCCTCTGTTGCCCCCTTGTGTCAGTCTCCTTCCCCTAGCTCACTTCTAGATGCTTCCGTCCACATCTGATCCTCCTCTTCTGATTAGCCCAGTCTTTGTTCAGTCCCCTATTTATACCCCTCTTGTTTCTCACTGCTGGTTTCCCGTCATTTCTTTGCTCCTCATGTGTGTTTTTCTACTTTTGTTGCCCTTTGTATAGGCATTAAATCAAATTCAAGAATCCACCTCAGCTTCCATCTCTGCATGTGGGTCCCTTAAAAAAAACTCCACATAACCTGACATTTTTAGTTTGATTTAGGTCTAAAGAGTGAAATAGCCACTGCCAACATTCTTCAACATTTTTTGATCATTATCCCAATAAAAGACCCAATGAGAATACATTTTTAGAATTGGTTCTCATTGGGTCTGACTTAATTTCCCCCCCCCCCAGAATCCCAGACATGATGCAGGGCTTTTAAAATCATATTAAGGATCCTCCCCTTGCCAAACAGTGGGCATAAATTGTTCTCCAGGTCTTCCTTTTTTCCCACACTAATCCAACCTTAAGTGTTTCGGTAAAGCTGATCTCATCTGATCCCATAGTTCAAACAAAAACGAGTAAGATTATGCTAGGAGAAATTAAACATTACTTAGGCCTATTAGACGTGTTTAGCTAAGGTGTCAATATATGTGGAGGGAAAAGGAGAATAAACCCTGATATTAGTTTTTATTTAACATATGTTTAGTATTTTTTGAGGGTGCAACAAACCCACACCACTGGTTTTTGAGCAAACATGAAAGGTCAGCAGATAGGAGAAATTCCCCCAATGAAGATAGGAATACTTAAGGCCAATTTATACTTCTGACGCAGAGACTCTGCAACCGTCAAATCCGTCTCTATGCGTGACCACGCCCCCCGCCCAGAGACTCTGCAACCGCCAAATCTGTCTCTATGCGCGACCACGCCCCCCACGCAAAGACTCTGCAACCGTCGTCGCGTACCTCAAAAAAATCCTGACTACAAGTCGGACGGTCGCAAACCCGCGTACACCTCAAGCGGAAGTGCACAGACAAAAAGCAGCTGTGATTGGTCCTTGGTATGCCTTTCCGGCTGTATGTGTGGTCGTCCTTCTCGATTCTGTGCCATTTTTAAAAACCGAGGAGTAATAACAGCAATGGATAACCACAACGAAAGGTTGATCGAGGAGGTTCGGAAGTACAATCACTTGTACGCTGCCTCAAATACGTTGTTTTGGAAAATAAACACTCCTGCCGGCGCCTCGAAGAAGTTCTCGTGACCATCCGCCGAAGTTCTCGTGAGTTCTCGAATAGGCTCCCCCTAGCGCTATGACGGGAAACTGCTGTGCGTCCCTAGAAATTCCAGACCGACGTTGCAGAAGCATACCAGCAAAACTGGTTTGCAACCAGACCCAAGCAACATTTGATGTGTGCAGTTGAAGAAGTTTAATCCAAAATCTTTGTTTTGTTATTTTTAAATTATGGCTAGCATTCTTTGAAAACAATATTTGAAAAAAAAAATCCATAATTAGGCATAACTTCAGTTACTTGAAGGGGGCAAAAGGCTGTGAATATGATCAATGGTGGATGCCACAGATGAATATACAAGTTAAAATGGGTCGTTATCCTTCTCTGTATCAATTCATTGAGGTTATGCAGTTGAAAATCCTAAAAATTAATAATGAGAGACAAATTCTGAACGGCCATGTATGGGTATTTCAATCTTTTTTTTCTAAATTGCTTGCTTCACAAATGAGAACTTGATCATATTGGATTTGGCACAAAAAAAATCTTCTAATTAAAAACTAAATGATCCCCACTTCAAAATTCCTTACACTAGTGTTTAAAAATGTATCATTCTAAACAATCCATTGCTTTCAGAAATCTGTCAAAAGGAGAAACAGACCATGATGTTGTAAGAAAAACAAACTTTAATCCTAAAGATCTTTCATGTTTCCACCTTTCAGATGCACTGACCAGAAATACAAGTTACAACTAAACCACTGCTTTTGTCTAAGCCTCTTAGACATAATGCCTATCTAAAAAGGGCACATACAGTAGTGTGTTGCATTCTTAACATACTGTATTGTTGATCCAAACAACTTGTTGAAGATCATTTAAAAGTTGCGAAAGAAATCCAAACAGGAGAGCTTTTGTCTTGGAGTGAACTTTTCAAGCCAGCGCCACCATGTTTTGCTGTGCCATTGGCGTTAAGATTAAGAATCTTTTCTCCAACCCAGATCGGGTGGGTGACTGCTGCAGAACGCAGATTGTGTCACTAAACCATTGGCAAGCTTAAAAACTAGTAGCATCTTGCTTTGCTTGCTCCTGGCTCTGAACGTAAATTAAAATGAATGTGTTGTAAGGAAATATGAGCTGATGACAAGCAAAAGAAGCCTGACTGTTTTTGTCACTTTTCTCAACTCTACTCATTGCTCCCAGTTGACAGACGTGAAGCGTGGGCTTGTCTGCACAAGACATTTTGGCATTAAAAGCAAAGGAGTTAGAAAAAAAAAAAAGTTAAAGGGAATTACGGTAATACTAACCTGAACTGGGTGCACTGTGGGCTGGAGAGGAAGTCTTTGGTGGCCTCTCGCTGCTGGTAAAGAAACCAATTAGTGCAGGATATTGATACCAAATGCATGAGATGTTCGGGTTTTTGGGGGTAATATTAGTAATGATGACGACATTAAACAAAGAATGATAAGTTAAACCAGAAGGCAAAGTGCTGTTAATGATGTTACATTCATGTCATAGCAAAGAAACATTCACTGCAGTCACAGGGGTTTACACTAAATGTCAAGTATATATTACAACAGAAGGTCATAATGCAAACAGCCTAAATGCAGCCATGTAAAACCATAAACAAAACCAATACACTTTAAGATCATTATCTGTTTTGGTTTTTATTATTAACTCAGATCCTTGATCCTTCTTCCTTTACTGTATGCATGGTTAATTTATCCTGGATCTTTCTCTCCTGGACTTGCTTACCTTTGAGAATCCTTGTTCCCACTAGAGTTTGGGGCCTTTAAAAGTACATGATGAACAAGACCTGTCAAGCTGGTAATCTGTTGCTCCATAACCTTCATTCGCTCTCTGCAGAAACATTAGAAAATGCTACTGATATTACATGTTCTACTAACACAAATAGCAGTGAACTATAAATGCTTTTAATATAACAATTGGTAGTGTTTTTTTTGTTTGTTTTTTTTTACTGAAAATGTATTTAAAATTGACCTACAAAATATTAAGAGCAAACATTATCGATTAAATAAATGCCCCCCCCCCCCCCTAAAAAAAAATACAATTAAGGTGTTCCATCAGAACGTTTTACATTGTCTTCAATTACTGTTTCTGGTTAAAATAAGTAACCATAAAAAAAATGGAAAACGCTAGAAGCATAAGGGGAAACTCTTCATGAGTCTAAAATAGACTGAGCATCTGGACAACAGCCCCCCCTGGTTGAACCCCCACCTCTCTTAAATCAAATGCCAGGATAGCCTCCAACCCCCATCTAGAACCATAACACAATACATTTTCTAAATGTTTATCGATTCCTGCATCTAAAATTAGGTATTTGTGTTTTATTATTTTAGTTTTTGTAAATCTGATCAGACATTTTGTACGAGAAAGCAAGATTATTATACAATATGTGGTAGCAATCTCTTATGTAGTACTGTTTAGTAAAAATCCCTTGTAAAAAATAACTAAGTTGTACAGAAGAGAAAATAGACGCCTGAGTGTAGCTTAAAATTAGGGCTGCAACTAACGATTATTTTGCAAATCAGTTAATCTGTTTGTTATGTTTTCGATTACCGGTAATCGATTAATAATTGGCTAGCCAAAGATTCCTTAAAGACTTTATACGAAATTAAACCAGGTGAAACTAAAACTTTTCCACTTGAGGAGTTCTGGATAGAGCATATTGACAGACGATTTATTTTTCTTTCTTAAATGCAAAATATCTTTTTTTTTCACAATTTTGATATAATTACTGCTCTAAGTAGATTGCTCTGTCAGCTAAAGGCATGTTTTACAGTCTCTATACTCCAGTTTACGATTAATCGATTACTAAATTAGTTGACGTTTATTTCAATAATTGATAATCATGATTAATCAATTGTTTCAGCCCTACTTAAAAAAACTGAAATAATAAAGCATTTGCATCAGTATTTATTTTCATGATTTTTTTTTTGTGTACATGTTTTTAGTGGTGTTGTTTTCAGATTTTCTCACAGGTAAAGATTCAATAATTTTTTGCAAATATTATGAGCTAAAATATGCAAATCAGGCCTCATTCAATATGGAGTGGCTCAAATTAAACCACCATTTCAGCAGATGTCAATTTTTCCAACGCACGTGCTAAATACAGTATACTCAAATTTAATATTTAAGTATATACGGTAATCCTAAACATACATATAAATAAAAATGTCTGAGTACAATAAATGCCAAAGGACTGATTTTCCGTTAAAAAACAGCATAACATACTTGATCTCCTGTCCAAAAACTTTAGAAGAAATGACCCAGGAGATCAAAGATAAACACAAGTTGTTTAGTCGTTTCTAAATAAAACAACTACTGTAGCCTAGAGAACGCAAACTGAAAACAACACTACATGACAAAAACCAAAAAAAAAAAAAAGGGAAGGAAGGAAGGAAGACAACATCTTAGAATCAGATTGTTTGGTAAGCGAAGTTTTAGAAAAATGAAAACAACATTTGTCTTCTGCTCCAACTGTTTATCTTAAAGGAGAATGTGGGGCAGGTTAAGGTCATATGGACAGTCAAGGTCTAACTACATGCTTGCAGAGAGTATCAGACATGAATACATTTGATGGTAACTAAATATACATTTATTTTGAAGATTATCTTGTTTAATCCTTGACATTTAACCTTTGAGAGATATTTGTTCTTCCACTTAGTACTGGGCGTATTCACTCAGGAACTTGAATGTAACCAGTAACAAAAATAACAGAAGTTGAAGCTGAAAAACGATTAGAAGACAGGTTATACTTGGCTTTAGTTGTGGATGATGAATTAGAGAACTAACCAGGCAGAGGGACTCAGCAGCCTATGATGAAAGTAAAACTGTGATGCAGAATTAGTTCATGCTCTCATGCAATGCTTCAATTCTAACGACAACAATCCAATGCCAGATTCTCTGTAACATTCAGCTTTGGGTGCTTACCGTGTCTCTTGGTCACCTGGAGCTGGAGTTGGCCCTTGAGGGTGACTCTGAGGATCTGGGATAACAGGAGATCCCATGCTGTTCCTGGGCTTAGTCCCTGCAACCTCCTCCTTCCTGAAGGACTGGCGCACAGGTGAGCCTCTCTCCAGGACAACTCCATGTGGTGGGACAGCATGAGTTGGAACACCATGAGGTGGCATGCTGTGGATATCAATCATCCGTACCTCAGTCATCCTATGAGGAGATGGAGGAGGAGTCTTGGATCCCAAAGTAGGCAGTTGGCTGTTTCGGGACTTCTGTCTGTAAAGAGTAGGGTGATCCACAGAGTCTGTAGGGCTGGGCCCACCATAAGAGCCAGTTGACCGGATGGATGCTCTGTGAAATCCCCCTATGCCATGCTCTGGACCATCAAGTCCAGGGCTTGCATGTGGCCCATGACCTGCAGCCATGCTGACTCGTCCCTCTTGGAGAACGTATGGATCTGCATACAACCCCTCATTTCCTCTGGTTAGAGTTTGGCTTTTCCCACTCAGGTCTTGATCTGGCTTTACATCTCGTCTCTCCAGTATAGCGCTTGGACAAGGCGAGATGGAGCGGACCGAAGGATTGGCACTAGATATCCGGTCCCTTGGGATGGTGGCGCTTCCTGGAACGGAGTTCTGTCTCGTGCCAAATGGGATTCGAGAGGGTGATGGCGGCATGGAGTGGGGAGATGGTGGGATCGCTCCCTGCATGGGGTGGTGTGACGGAGGACCCATAGGTGGATGTCTTAGAGGGTGCTGACCATCACGGGCTGCATGTGCCATCTCACTGTGAATCTAGAAAAGTCGAAAAAACAAAAACATTAAACTCGTTGTACGTAAATGACCTGTCAATCACAATGATTTCCTCTTATGCAATATTATGTTTAAAGTTTTTCAAATATCATAAACCATTTCAAATATCTACAGGCTTTTTGCTCATGTTAAGGACAGTTTTTTGTTCCTCCAAAAAGAGCTGTTGATTTATCAAGCTTGCATATGCATAAAGAAAACGGGGTGGGGAAATGTACGGCCCCTCATGTTACTTCTAAGCCATGAGTACTCATTTTTGAATTAATGAGAAACAGGTGACATAGATGTGAGAAGAATTAAAGCCCAATTACATCCTCTCCAACATTCATTATTACTTTAAACTAAAGATTAACCTTAGATCTATGCAATCTTCAGAATACAATATCACAGTTGGATTTCATTCACATATATGTGAGAACCTGACAAATAGATATAAAAAAAGTCTATTGAAGGCATATTAATAAATGTACAATATTTAAGCATTTTTTGCACCCACATATTCCTCTCCCTGATGATCAACAGAGTAAGTCTAACAAAAGATAAATGCGTAAACTTAACAAGCTGTCAGGGATTCCCATATACTGCTGTAATCATATTAATATGGATTTGAGACCATGCAAATCAGTGTGTGATAGATGCTGTTCTGATGGAGGTGGTTGAAAATGGCAGAATTAGGAGGGAACCCAGGTGATGGTCCTGGTTAATGATGATGGCAGGTTTATCGGTTGATCAATCAAACTGAACCACAACATCCCAAACATAAATAAATATTGTTTATTATGTTTAATCAAATTTGGATAAACCCATTATTTCATCATTTGCATTACTAAGGACATCAATATCCTTATACATAGGCTTAATTCTTATCATACTGAGAAAAAATACCTATAAATCATAACAAAAGCAAAAAATGTCTGCATTTTTTCTGTCTTGTTCCTCAGAACTGAAGATTCCTTGAGACAGCAAATAAATCCACCTAAATTATTCAATATTTATTTTCTTTATATTTTAAGCATCTTCTACAATTTATTAACAAAATTTCCTGAGCATTATGCTGACTGGCATTTGAAGATCATCCCTACTCCTAATACAAGATTCAACACCTTTTTTCCTTGCAAAAGTAAACTCAATTTACTGCTGATAAAACAGCAAAAACACACCTGCAGGGTGAATCTGCATCTGGTTGATTTGCAACAGGATCTGTCAAACAATGTCGGTTTAACCACTCAGCTAATCATTGTCATTATCATTAGCCCAACCAACCTTAACAGATCATCAGTGGATAACATATAAAAGCAAGACCGGCTTCCTATAGCGAGGAAATAACTTTTGAGATTAAAGAGAAATAAATTAAATCAGAGAGCACATCTGGTTATTTTGGTATACAACATGAAATGCTATCTAATCAACAATCGACATGACAGTTTGAGTACTTGTCCCTTTGGTTAACAGGGGAAAATTGTACATCACTTCTACTAATATATATATATACTCATACTCTTCTTTGAGACTTTAGATTCCGTCTTAGTTTTTATCAACAAAAGTTAAGTCTCTCTTTTCGTTTGCCTCACATCCAGATATACTGCTGCAACAGTGAGCACAAAACAGCCTCTATTATATTGATAACGAACATTAAACAACCACGTTTTCTATTACTAGATGAAGTAAATTTTTTCAGACGAGTAAAATGAAACAGCAAGACTGAAATTGAGAGTAAACAGTAATAAAACCTCAGGATTTCGATACAACTTGTATGATAACACTGTACAGGAAGCTGTCACATAAAGATCTAGATCCAATTCATTTTCCTTTTCTTTCAAACAAGCAAGCTTTTGTTTTATCAAGGTATGACTCACAGGTTACACCTAGAAGCTAAGACATGTCAAAAGCCCTGATGCAAGTTCTTTCAAACACTTCAGGGACAGTTCTTCATTGAGCACTTTTTTTGTGCAGTGTTGTTTTTATCTGTTTTATTCAAGCATGCCAACACAGATTACTAAAGGGAGGAAAACAATGAAGTAGGTGTGAGTGTTGCGTGTGCAGAAGTGAGTGTGCTACGTGAAATGGATGAAAATAACTGCTCAGAAATTTCTGTAACAAAGGCTTCATGTTTGGCTGTGACAACAGATGAAAAGGAGAACATGCTTTCAGTGAAAGTTTGTCTCACAAGGGTGATCTTCAGAGTCGTTAAACCTAATGACCTTTTTTTTTTATTAAGGGAGCACATCTCTATGGACGAAGAATGAAAAATAAAACAACTTCACATACTGTATGTGTATTCCTATTCCAGCAGAGCCATATTTAAAAAAGCTTATGCCATTAATGGCCGTACCCAAACAGATGAGGGGATACTCAAATTATCCCTAAAATATGCAGCTTTTGTTGTAAATAACAGACAAGTGTCTTCTTTCGAGATAAAGAATGAAAAAAATGGCTTAAAAGCAAGCACACGGGCAAACAGATCAGACTGAGGCAAGGTCCCAGATAAAAACAGCTAACTCTGACACAGAATATTGTTTTCACTGTGGTCTTAAGCCTCCCTTAGAATGTGTTGCCTGTTTGCTTTATGTGCACAGAGGTGCTTCAATCTCTTGCTGTGTCAGCATTGGATAAGGTTTCTCAACTGATTCACAAACTGTAGAGAATCTGAGTTTGCAAAGCTGAACAGATAAAGAAAAGTGCCGTGATGGAAAAAGCTGTAAAATGTAAATATTTAGAGAGCCTGAGTGGTTCAATATACTTGGAGTAAATGTGTGGATAAGCGTAATGATGATAAAAGATTGTTAGAGCTTAGTAATAATGATGTTAAGCAAAATGAGACATTTATCTTTACTATTATTATTGGAAAAAAAGGGGAAACAGAGCAGAAGTTGGGCAATAATTAAACATTCTGTTGACTAAACCTCTTTTTTCTGTGTACATAACAAACCTGTCTGACAGCCACTAATGATGACTGCACAAGTGTTTAAAGACCAGTTCGTTTTGTAAACTGCTTTGCAATCAATGATAGAAATGAACATTATTATGTCAAAATATTTGTTTCCTTAACTGAAACTTCTGGATTGGTAAATCTTAAATTTTTCATTTAATATTGCTAGGCAGTTTGCAGAAAGCCTTGCAGAAGTATTTGGCCCCTTTGAACTTTTGACCTTTTGCCACATTCCAGGCTTCAAACATGAAAATATAAAACTGTAATTATTTGTGAAGAATCAACAAGTGGGAAACAATCATGACGTGTAACAGAATTTATTGGATATTTTAAGCTTTTTTTAACAAGTATAAAAAACTGGTTGTGCTAAATTATTGCGCCCTCTGGAGTTAATACTTTGTAGCGCTACCTTTTGCTGCAATTACAGCTGCAAATCTCTTGAGGTATGTCTCTATCGGTTCTGGACATCGACTGAAATGTTTCATTCTTTCCTACAAAACAGCTCAAGCTCAGGAAGGTTGGAAGGAGAGCATTTGTGAACAACAGTTTTCAGTTCGTTCTACAGATTCTCTATTGGATTCATGTCTGGACCAACCTGGACATGTTTATATGTGAACCATTCCATTGTATATTTTCCTTTATGTTTTGGATCATTGTCTCATGTCTTTTGCAGAGTCCAACATGTTTTTCTCCCAGAATCATCGGTCTTTGCCTCCATCCATCTTTTAATCAATTTAACCATCTTCCCTGTCGAAGAAAAGCAGGCCCCAACCATGATGCTGCCACCATCATGTTTAACAATGGGGATGGTGTGTACAGAGTGATGAACGGTGTTGCTTTTACACCAAAAGTAATATTTTGCATTTTTGCCACAAAGTTGGATTTTGGTTTCATCTGACCAGAAAACCTTCTTCCACATGTTTGCCATGTCTCCCAGGTGGTTTGTAGCTAAATTTAAACAAGACTTTTTTTTCGGGATATCTGTAGGAATTGTCTTTCTTCCATAAAGGCAATATGTGTGCTATATACAACAGATTTTTATCTTATGGACAGAGTCTTCCACCTCAGCTGTAGATCTCTGCAGTTCATCCAGAGTGATCATGGGCCTCTTGGCTGCATCTCTGATCAGTCTTCTCCTTGTTTGAGCTGAAATTTTAAAGGGTTTTCTTAGATTTGCAGTGGTCTGACACTCCTTCCATTTCAATATTATCACTTACACTGTGCTCTTTGGGATTTTTAAAGCTTGGGAAATCTTTTTGTTTCCAAATCCAGCTTTAAACTTCTCCACAACAGTATCTCGGACCTGTCTGATGTGTTCTTTGTTCTTCATGATGCTCTCTGCACTTTAAACAGACCTCTGAGGCGATCACAGAGCAGGTGCATTAATAGGTGGATTCTATTTAGTATCATTTAGGTCGACATTGGATCATTCAGAGATCCTCACTGAACTTCTGGGGAGAGTTTGCTGCACTGAAAGTAAAAGGGGCCGATTAATTTTGCACACCCCACTCTTCAGTTTTTTATTTGTTAAAAAAGTTAAAAATATCCAATATACACTATATTGCCAAAAGTATTTGCTCACCCATCCAAATTATTGGAATCAGGTGTTCCAATCACTTCCATGGCCACAGGTGTATAAATTCAAGCACCTAGGCATGCAGACTGTTTTTACAAACATTTGTGAAAGAATGGGTTGCTCTCAGGAGCTCAGTGAATTCCAGCGTGGAACTGTGATAGGATGCCACCTGTGCAACAAATCCAGTCGTGAAATTTCCTCGCTCCTAAATATTCCACAGTCAACTGTCAGCTGTATTATAAGAAAATGGAAGTGTTTGGGAACGACAGCAACTCAGCCACGAAGTGGTAGGCCACGTAAACTGACGGAGCGGGGTCAGCGGATGCTGACGCGCATAGTGCGAAGAGGTCGCCAACTTTCTGCAGAGTCAATCACTACAGACCTCCAAACTTCATGTGGCCTTCAGATTAGCTCAAGAACAGTGCGCAGAGAGCTTCATGGAATGGGTTTCCATGGTCGAGCAGCTGCATCCAAGCCATACATCACCAAGTGCAATGCAAAGCGTCGGATGCGGTGGTGTAAAGCACGCCGCCACTGGACTCTAGAGCAGTGGAGACGCGTTCTCTGGAGTGACGAATCGCGCTTCTCCATCTGGCAATCTGATGGACGGGTCTGGGTTTGGCGGTTGCCAGGAGAACGGTACTTGTCTGACCGCATTGTGCCAAGTGTAAAGTTTGGTGGAGGGGGGATTATGGTGTGGGGTTGTTTTTCAGGAGCTGGGCTTGGCCCCTTAGTTCCAGTGAAAGGAACTCTGAATGCTTCAGCATCCCAAGACATTTTGGACAATTCCATGCTCCCAACTTTGTGGGAACAGTTTGGAGCTGGCCCCTTCCTCTTCCAACATGACTGTGCACCAGTGCACAAAGCAAGGTCCATAAAGACATGGATGACAGAGTCTGGTGTGGATGAACTTGACTGGCCTGCACAGAGTCCTGACCTCAACCCGATAGAACACCTTTGGGATGAATTAGAGCGGAGACTGAGAGCCAGGCCTTCTCGTCCAACATCAGTGTGCGACCTCACAAATGCGCTTCTGGAAGAATGGTCAAAAATTCCCATAAACACACTCCTAAACCTTGTGGACAGCCTTCCCAGAAGAGTTGAAGCTGTTCTAGCTGCAAAGGGTGGACCGACGTCATATTGAACCCTATGGATTAGGAACGGGATTTCACTTAAGCTCATATGTGAGTCAAGGCAGGTGAGCAAATACTTTTGGCAATATAGTGTATTTAATTACACTTCATGATTGGGTAAAAATAGTTGTTGATTCTTCACTAAAAAATGTTTATGTTTGATGCCTGAAATGTGGCAAGAGTTTGAGATTTTCAAGAGAGCAGATTATTTTTGCAAGGCAAACTGTAACTGGGCTGATATCTAAGGATAGCTCTGACAGGGTTTCACTTGCCAATAACGTACATTTATAACATAAGTTTTAGTGGTTGTAGAAGTAATAGAAAACACAGATCTGGGAACTGGAATTCTAGCAGCACTCCTACATTATTCTCTACATTTTCTCTCCGTTGTCCTTTCTTTCCCAGTAAATGGTATCGGCATCTCAGATATGTTAGATTTGTTTACCGGTACCAAGCTTTCCTGTCTGACCCTTCAAAACAATCTACCATCAACAGCATTGTGTTGTAGAAGCTTTTATGCAAGAGCCTTTTTTTGGGAGTTTTTACAGCACATTTTGGAGTTTTTACAGCACTAGTGTCTCGTTTTTTTGGCAGTAGGCTGGCAGGAAAGGGGGTATGAGAGAGGGAGAGACATGCGGCCAAGGATTCGAACCCGGGTCATCCATGTCGAGGACTAAGGAATCTTTCTGTACATGGGTTTTGTGCGCTAACAACTGGACAACCAAAGCACGCCCTTATGCAACAAACTTTTAAACAATTTTCCCAACATTTATGGAGAACAGCAAAGTTGCTCTTTTGTAGTTTTTATTATTTTCACCTATAAACATAGAAAAAGTCAGCAGCCTTTTGATATGTTCTGTAGTAAGGTATAAAACAAGATTCTCCAGAACATATCTCCAAAGCCTGCTATTAACTGTAACACAAGTTGTGCTACCCACAGTAATTGCTGCTAAAAAGTCTAAAGATTGTTTTAGAGTTTAAATATTTCTTTATGCTATTACTAGTTTTAAATCTGTGGTAAACCATTGTTCTACAGCAACTCCTCTCTCACATATACAATATTGCATCTTCTAATATGTTTCCTTAAAGACTGTTTAGGACAGGAAGCTACAGAAAGTTGAATGTTTATTCTGGTAAGACTGTTTCTTATATGATAATTACCGTATTTTCACGACAATAAGGCGCACCTAAACGTCTTTTGTAATACTTTGTAATAAATACATTAATAAAGCACAATCATACTCAGTTTTGCTCCCGCTCTATTTTTCTACCTGAAAACTTAATTCAACAGCAGCCTCTGGTCCGGGTCTCCTCCTCTTCACCGCGGTGGCTGGCAGGTGTTTTTTCATCTAAATAATCTAAATCTTGCAGCTATATTTGCTGTGATCAGTCGGAATAAAGTAGTTTTAATATGTTTTTAAGTGAGAAAGTCCACCTGAAAACTTAATAATTGCAGTCAGTTCATCCAGATTATCTATTTCTGTTGGAGGCGCTCCCCACATACCCCCACATACCAGCGGTGCACCGACAGCAGAAATCCATTCATCAGCAGCCTCTAGGCTGGGCAGCCTCCAGGTTCACGCGGTGGCTGGCAGATGTTTTTCATCTAAATAATTTAAACTGCAGGCACCAGGATACCGGTAATAAAAGCAAACATATTCCGTCGGCAGGTTTCAGGATTTTAAGTTAATTTAGGAGTGATCACAGTGCTGTGTCATCTGCGATGTGTCTGTCTCACGGCCAGCTGCCAGGTTTGATTAATACTTTGTAATAAATACATGAATAAAGCACAGTCATACTCAGTTTTGCCCCCGCTGTATTTTTAAATACGCAGTAGAGGTATTTAAACGTAGTAGAGGACATGTACCTGTATATAAAAAACGCGCCCTATAGTCCGGTGCGCCTTATGTGTGTGTTAAATACAGAAATGGGCACATAACTGAGAGTGCGCCTTTTAGTACGGTGCGCCTTATGGTCGTGAAAATACGGTAGTAAAGAAAAAAAAATGGAGGTGGAAAATTAATCTCAGTAGTCTTAATGGTGAATCATGTGTTAAATAGTTTTTAAAATAGCTTCTTAAAAAAAACTTTCAAGTTCTGATCCCTCTCTTACCTTTAGATGCTCATCTGACGTGCTCAAATTAACAAATAGGATTGGTTGGGATTATTAGATCAAATGTCTGCAAAATAATTCCTTAGCTACACCTAATCTCGAATAATCTGCAGTCTTGTGATCTCACTGTTTGTGTCAAACGCGAGTTGGTTAAACAATGACAGAACTATTCAGGTCAACAGGACTCTTCTACAGTGTTTACTTGGTGCTCAAAATTGAACCATGTCTGTCAAACTTCAAACTGATCACAAAAATTGAATGCAGAGCCGTTTTATCATACATACTTTTGCATCAATAATCTTGTCAAATCATGGGACAATACAATTTTAGTTAAACATTGTGATATATATAATGTCTAGCTTATGGCAACAAGTGTTTGCATAATATTAAATAAATATTAGCATTACATCAATAGTAAATCTGTTGTAGGCACGGAACGAGACTGTTAGGTAAAGAAAGAGTGAGCAGGAACATTTGAGGAAATGTTTTTGGGCTAAGGCTTTCCTATATCCGCATGAAAGAAATAGCTGAGTAAGAAACAGAGAGTGAGATTACGGCTTACATTGGAATAAGGAAGAACAAGCTGAGCAAATGGCCCCTGGAACTGAGTTGGATTTTCCCCTAAAATGTTGCATAGGGCATGCCTGAATGTCGGCCTCTGGGAGAACAAAAAGCCACCCCCCCTTTGACAGATTAACAAGAGGCAGGGGGGCATTCCTTCCTAAAACTGCAAACAGGATGTGAGTTAAAGAACTGGAGCCTGAACTGGCTTTTTTTATTGCACCAAATGTATTCATCTCCCCTCAGCTGCTGGGACAACAGGGAAGTACTCACCCTGGCATCGCCGTTGGCTGGCCGAGGTCCATGGCTGAAAGCCTGAGCCGGATCCTTATGGTACACCTTCAGACAGGAGTGATCTGTGATGTTCCTGTAAGGGAAGGAGTTGTTGGCTGGTAAGTAAGCGGCCCAGATATCCCCATCAGAAAGTGGCCGGTCTTGCCTCCACCTAGATCTGTTAAACATCCCAGCTAAGGACACATGCTCTGGCTGAGGCTCTGACAGTCCCCTGTCATATGACATTTTCTCTAACTCTGGGAAGTCGACAAAAACATCCACTAATTTTCTGAGCTGTGGCCAAGCAACATGAAATGTCGAGCGGATCTGTTATTTACTCAGTGCTAGTCTCACTCTGAGTGTGATACTGCACCTTGTACCAACCTTAAAACAGCATGAGGTAATTTTTTACAACCTTGATAAGGATTTAGTCACGGATTACACACTTCACTTGAGCTGGATCTCCACAGAGTGAGAGGGCAAAGTTTCTAATGTTTCTGGAGCATTTCTTCTTAGAATTTTAGCCCCCACAGAGAATATGCAGGATATGAAAATATATGATTGAAGTAAAAACCAAACCAGGAACAGCAGTTCCACAAGAAGACATGAGTGTTCTTAGTAAAATGCCTAAATGCTCAACTCTTAGCTACAATCAGCATTGTTGTGTCTGTAAATGACATGGCAGACACAAAACAATACTTTGGAAAATGTTCTATTGTTTTCAATTGAAAAAAAAAAAGCTCAGCTCATTTTTTTAAAAGTTTACTGGGTGAAACTTTTGCATGATAAGAAAGGAAAAGGAGCAGGAAAGTCAGGAGCAATCCTAAAAAGCTGTCGTTTTTTATAGTGTTCCACAAACATGTTTTCCACACGGCTTTTACTCAAAACAAATTTCATTTACATGGAGGGAAAGTATGTAAGGCTTCCTGTCCCGCCCAATGACATTTCCTGTTCAAAGGTAGCTATGAACAACAATAGCAAATAGATTAAATTGGTTGGAAGATAGATTCCATCCATCCATCCATCCATCCATCCATCCATCCATCCATCCATCCATCCATCCATCCATCCATCCATCCATCCATCCATCCATCCATCCATCCATGCATCCTTAACTTAGAGACTTAATCAAACTAATAATTGAATCATTTAACTATTTTCAACTGTCATTAGATACTTTTAACAAAAAAACAAAAAACAAATCTGCAACCAATGTAGCTTGTGAGTTTTAAAAAACTGCTGTTTTAACTTCAACGTTTTCATGGTATCTTGTGTACCAACACTAACTGACAACTGATCCATGATTGCTTGGTGACCTTTCAATATGATGGATACCTTCATTTAACACACGTCCTAGTGATTTTCTCTTGATTTGATATGAAAAGATCTTTACCTGACATCAGCGAGTTCGTAGTACATGTTTCTCATGTCGTCTTTGACGTAGACGGCCACACTAGGAGACTCTAGCATCTTCATGTTTAGCTGCTGCGGGAAGGCACTGACAAACAGAGCTCTGATTGTGTCGATGCTGGTGATCTCATTGGGCATGCGGATCTGTTTGGTCTCATCCCCGTACTGCAGATAGAGTACACCTAGGGACAGAACAGCAATGTGATTAGACTCAAATAAGATCCCCCAAAACCAATATGAGTTCCAGGTATGAAGATGCAGAATTGGATTTACTTTTACAATAAAAAAAAGAACCCACTACTTCAAATTGCTTTTGGCTTTTGTTTATGAAGCAATTAAACAATGAAAAACTTTTTAGTTAGAAGGCAGTGGGATGTGTTACTGATATTGGTGATCAGATGATTACTGTAAGCCAAGACTGAAACATTAAGATATAATTGCTTTGTCTTTTATTGAAGTTCTAATGTCTTGCAATGTAATGCAGTTAGAGTTAAGGTACAGAAATAAAGGAAAACAAGGAAAATGCACAATGTTAAAAAACTTTATATTAGTATAAAATAACTGTAATGCATAACTTTTTCCAACTTTTACTTGACGTTATGATTTTTTTTCTGGAAAATAATATATAAGCATTTGGAGAAAAAAAATCCCATGAAGTGGTTGAAGCATTCTGACCATAGTAAAAGTTTGAAACAGGATAATTTTGCCAAGATGATAATAATTACTTTCTATGCTGAATAAGGCCTCAAGAGGATTTCTACACTGGATTGTGAGTCAAAGAAATTCAAGCTAATCCCTTAAATCCGACCTTTAGTTTTCCGGTATATGAGCAGAAATCTGACAAATCTGTCACCCAGCTCATATTGGTGTTGGAAATTAGCATGCCTTTTTAGTCACAAAGTAATGGAGAAAATTACATGATAATAGTTGGGTTGTTGTGGCAGAAAAGAAGCTAGACGCGAAGCTGTGTGCTGAGGGTGGAACTGTAAATGTTGTGTATCAAAGACCAAAGTCTGAACCTCTGAACTCTGGGTGTGGCTTCTGTGCTGTTTTAAAAAACAGATGTCATTCCCACAAAATTGATGTGCACGCCTACCCTGCACTTGTATAAACAGTGCCAGGGGAAGAAAAAAAATGCATATTTTCAATCTCGGATTCATTGTTTTACACTGAAATAAATGGTATAGACATTTCAACATGATTCAATTTAGAGATTTGAAAAGTAGGTTCAACCAAATCTAATAAAAAATATCCTAAAAGCTTGCTTATACATTTTCCAATGAAAACGTTGCATTTAAAGAAATGATGCATGATTTTACTCGGTAAATCCAACAAAACCCAAGGCTGTAAAAGCAACCAGATGTTACCGAAATATTATACAAGATCCTACATGCTCCATGAGACAGGAAAAGGGCAAATCCAGGAAATAAAACTGCAGAGCTTCAGTATTGCATTGTGTTTTTTTTCTTGGTTTCTGTGCAGCAGCAACTTAATACAGTGACCATTTGGAACAGAAGTCAACCTTTTCAGTGAGAGACAGGCTACAATAATGTAAAGTCTTTCATCCAGAATTTGGCTAGGCGGGAAGGAAAAAGTTAACCACAGTGTTATGGGGATTTCTTTTCTTGCATTTAAAGTCTTATAAGGAGGGCAGAAAGAGGAATCGAGTTACATTCCTGTGTGCTTGAACTCACAGAGAGCTGGAAACAAATGGCTTGTAGGGTTTTGTAACCAAATGGACACAGATTGGAAACTTTCTGGGCTTATTACACATCTTCACTGGGGCACAAAGGTAAATATTAAATAAAGCCGTTAAAACGTTTCATTTCAATTGCTGCAAATTTTGGGCCATAGCTAAACAATAGTAAAAATATAACACTGTGGCCACAAGTCAAACACCATAAAACAAGAGTCCAAGTGATGCTAAACTGTTGATTAAATCTGATACTTACAGAAGAAGCCTTGAGTCCCCGTTTCCTTGCTCAATGTTATGCTAAAAAGAAAAGATGATGCTGCAACTTATGCAGCAAGAGGCAAGGGTACAAGGAATCCCCAAATGTCCGTTGGGACAAAGTAGAATGTGTGCTTTTGCCTCCGTGTGTGTGTCTGAGACTGTGGGAGGGACACAGTAGTAAAGTGGTGCCCCCTGTTTTCACTCCACCCCTTCATCACGTCACCCCCCCACTGCCCCAACGCTTTGTTCTGATGTTTTTCGATGAAGTGAAGTAGTATGATGACATTCACTAATGAGTTAGATAGTCCATGCATGGGCATATATAAACCTGTGTTTATATTAGCCCCATTGTTGGGTTTGTGATTGACTTTGGATTTAGATTTGAAGGAACCAGAAACTGTGAAAAATGACACCCTGTGGCTTGATTCTCTCCCACAAAATGTGCAACGTTCTTTTCATCTGTGACTAAAGGTCTTGCTTCATAGTGAATAGAGAAAAAAAAAGGAAAATAAGAACTTTTGAATGGTTTTTTGCATTGATAAGCAGCTGTTTTGCATTTTGCTGGCATATTTTCTGATGAACAAAAGTTATGCAAATCCCATTTTTTTATACCGGTAGAAAACCAATGCCATAAGATCCTAAGAATTTCAACATAAAAAATGGATAACAACTAAAACAAAACTAATTAGTGTGGTGAAGAGAAGTTGGAAGGGAAGTATGTAAGGTAGATAGAACCCACAGGTTTATTTTTTGTACTGAATTACAGAGAAAATTATAGGACTCTCTATTAATTAGTCTGGGAATTAACAAAATTGTTAAATATCAGGTAATGGTGGCAGCAAACTAGTACACACAGCTTTTTTGATAATAATGCATGGTAAGAAAAATTGGAAACAAACAGCTGTAGCAAACAAAAATAAGTATGGCCATTAAGTAGTTAAAAAATAAAGAAAGATGTTCCTGATTATTTTTCATGCAGGGAAATACTTGCTGGCTTTTTCTTCAGGGGGTAAAAACAGATAATCATTTCTGTTATCACTTATTTAAAAATTTGCTGCTGTCAGTTGACTGATCTGTGAGAAGTAACTGATCTGATCTACCTACCCTAATCTCTACAGCATGATCCTTCCGCCCCCTTGTTTCAATATGGGGCTGCCACACAGGGATTTGCTCGTAGACTAAAGCGTTTCCTGACCATAAATGGCTTGTAGACCCTAAATAGCTTGTGTGAAACTGCAACAAGTGACCTTTTAAAGCAATCTCCAAAAAATGAATGTGTTATTGTAACACTTAACAGAAGCCAGATTTATGGATTGCACAATTTATACCTGTTGGTCAACACATTCCTGAGCAGAGCATCACCATCAGCTCAGGTTGATGGTTATGTCTGGGTATGCACCTTGTGCCATGCTCTTTTTATTTTCAGGAGATATATTCACTTTTTTTGGGTGCTGCTTGTTAATCTAATCCCTGCAACACACTCAAGGATTTCAGAAATGATAGAAACAGCACCAGCAGAGCTATTTCTATTAGTGATCTTTCACATCTAGATAAATAGACAGCAAGGGATAGCAACTAATGCTGCATAAAAAGTTTTTTTTTTTTTTTTCATCTTATTCTAGAGATAATAGAAAGAGATATAATGTATCTTCTACTTCGTTCTGGGGTTTCAGCCAGTGGCATATAGAGGTGGTGATGGACCCACCAAAGGGGTTGAGTCTGCAGCCGTTAGGACTAATATGCTCAATGGACCTTTGCGTACAAGAGCCCAAACCTGACTTCTCCTCGGTGTGACTACTTTTAAGACCTGGGCAAGGAAATCTCCTTTAAAATGGCCTCCTCAGTTTGAAATAGGACCTAAAAGTCGTGAGGAAGCGGTTGTTCCAACCGTTGCATTTCCCAATTCCACCGAGTGGTGCCCGACTTTACAAGAGTGAATAAAGTGAATGTGATTGGTCGTTCATCGGTAGCTGCTCTGCTGCAGACAGGAAAGCTCTGCAATAACAATAACTTGTATTTGCAGTCTACACTCAGACACTTTAAAATGTTGCACTGCTAAATTTATCTTTAATATACATTTTATTCTCTACTTCTTGTTTTTATATATCTGTAAATGTTTTTTTTATTAAATTTGATATTGTAGCTAGTTTTTATAATTTATTTTTATATTCGGATGAAACTGAGGCCGTGACTCTCAATTTCGTTTACCTCATGTAACACGTGATGTGAATGACAATAAAGTCTCTTGAATCTTGAATCTCTTGAATCAAAGGGGGGGGGGAATTGTTGTGGCGGAAGGTTTGCAAGCAATTTTGGTTGTGGCCGGTGTCTCTGAAGCATCTTGGTAACCAGTTAGCAACTTAGTGCTAGTAGGTTCCCAATGGGAAATTACATTGGGACCAAGTAGCATACAGTACATTGGGACTTTAAGGCCCCTGAAAAATCAGAAAGCAAAAGCAGACCATGCTACAGTTAGAGCAATGGTAAATTTAATTATTATTAAGTTGTTGTTAAGTCTTTAGAATATGAACTCGGGAGGCATAGCTTTGCTTCACTTTGTTGTTATCTTTAAAAGGTTTCATTTGGGAAAAAAACAAACAAAAATGACTAGTTTATATTAGAATTTTTTCATGCTTAGGTGTGGTCTTTAGGGCTTGAGGTAGGACTGGATTATAGAAAGACAATTTGTTTAGAAAAGGTTTGTTAACTTTGTTATTAAGTACCTCTCAAAACCAGCACTGTTTTTATTGATAATATCTAAAAACATATACTGATATCTAAAGCTGTATAAGTACTTTACCAGGAGCTATCTTAATCAGAACGCTTGTGTTTGCTTCAGAGGTTTAACAACCATAAAAATAAAACAATTTGCACAAGGATCGCTTTTAAACTACCACAATATGGACGTTATTAATCAGATGCATTATCAAATGGATGTATCCAATAAAGAATAAATGCCTTGCAAACATGTACCCCTTTATACCTACGTATATATACTACACCAAGTGCCCATCCCGAGAGTGTTTAGATGCACATGCCATCTGTCAGCTGCACCGCTTGATCGATTAATCGATCTATATATTTTTATTTATCTGTTTGCGTGTAATGTCATTCGTAGTTACACTGTAAAGCCTGAGAATAGCATTGCGGTCACCACTAGCAGGATACACAAGGCTGTTTTACCCTCGCATTCATTAATTTAGCAACCACATCTGACTCCTCTTGCTTCCAAGTGCTATTTAAGTTTTATAGTCCTTGGTACTAAATAGTTTTTTTCAGGCTTTTTTTTTCACATTGGATCTTGGTTTTTTATTTACTGTTTTCACACGTTACTGGGAGGTACTAACTGGAACGCAAGCTACTTACTTGTTTACTCTCTCTGCACTTATCATACCATTGTTGTTACTGTAAATATACATTCAGTGCTTTATTTACTGACAGATTAAGCAAAAAAGCAAACAAACAAAAAAAGAAGAACCTGTGAGCAACTGAAATGAGTTACTGGAGCATACATTTGAAAAACTTAAAAATAACGGGACTTTCCAAATGAGGACAAAAACATCCTTATAAGTTATTAGTAAACATAGGGCTAAAAATACCCGTAGAAGTGAAAAAATGCTTGTAAAGTGCAGAAGTATAAGTTTTTCTTTCAACAGAGTTGTGGATTTCTTTAGTTCCTTCAAAATTCGCACATGCTTAGCTCTGCATCTTGGACAGTTGAGGTGGATAATCTTGCCTCCACAGATGTACAATTGTGCTGCGCTCTTTGTCCATTTTCAGATTAAGGATAGAAGAATGCTTTGATCTTATGATACTGTGTGTTCACTAATGCTTGAAAATTTTATTCTTGTTTGAAAGAATTGTTACGTTTCTCACTGCCAACACTTTAAAAAGGCATATAACAGATCTTACCTAAAGATCGGTCCTTTGTCTGGTTGGTCGATCGCACCACCGGCAGGCTGGCCCGAACCCGGCTGCCTCGGGTGAAGGCTGTGGGTGTGTCCGCCTCAGACATGGCGTCTAAAGATTCTAGTGAGGTCAGAGAAAGGTGGTCGGCCTGATCCCCGACGCTGGGCTGTGGGCTGGGACCGTGCTTTGGACTTCTGCTCTGGATTTGAAGAGGAAAACAGAAACAATACAGGAAGGAGTGAGACCATGGATGCTTATGATGGCACTACAAATAAAAACAAACCTGGAGTGATAGATTCAAAAAGCACTTTGCTTTCTCCTTTTTGCAGCAAAATACTGCTCATACTGTAGCTTGGACTCAATCCTGTGTTTTGGAGGTCAATCATATTACAGGCCACCTTATTATAACCTGAAGCCCGAGTCATGCACAATGACAAAATAAACTGAAGCAGATACGCCATGCAAATATGCAATGAGGATTATACCCAGATGATGTTCACTGAAGCAATTGAGAGGATCTGGGGCTGTAATGATATAAACTTGGATCTAACCTGTATGATGTGACTTTCTGTTATTTAGAGGGGGAAAGTATGTTTAAAATGACAACTGATAAAAAGGTGCCATGTTGTCCTTTAAAGCTTAGAATTCATTTAATTTTTCTGAGATCTGGCATAATTATTTACGCCCCTTTTCTCAAACCACAACAAATAACAGTGTATCCAAATGGAAACTCTTTTACATGACCAAGAGAAAGTGTTACATAATTGTGGATTTGAAGAGAAAAGAACAGTTGCTTTTTAATACCAAAGGAAAAATGTGCATAATCTCAATATAAGTGCAGCTTTTGTTAGAAATAAGTTAGAAAGCATAATGATAGATTACCAAGTATGGATGTATCAGGTTGGAGCGAGAGCTTTGGACAACTTTGAAGTAGGGTTAGTTTATAAAACAATATATAAGGTTGTAACTTCCCAATAAAACACTATGCGGATGCAACAGCAAAACTACCAAGGCCTGTGGTGCTAGTGCACCCTTGGTTGAATCTGTTGACAAACAAATATAATTTGGGCAAGTCACCAATCTGTTCTTTATAAAACGAGTTGCAAAAGATACGCCATATTTGGAAGAAAGCCATTTGCAGGTTGCTACAAGTCATGCAGGGAAAACAGCAAATATGTGGAATTGGTAACATATAATTTACACGCATTGGGTAATTTAACACTGCATTCTCATGCTGCTGGAGCTTCTTAGTCATTCACTAATAACAAAATGAAAAATTCCAATAGACTTTTTTTAAAAAGTTGATATTTTGTAAGCTTTCATTGGCAGGACTGGTTTAGCCAAAGCGAGCTGGAAGATGCTGACAGAGGAAACGCTGAGTTACTCTGGAGCACATAGGTTGGGAACGTGGTGGCACAGCATATGCTACTGTAGTAAGGGATGAGAACACACCAGCACACACACACCATGATGCAGATAAGATGAAGGGCCAACTAACTTTGTGGGGTGATTGGATTTTCATCAAATACCTCTGAATGTCAAGCTCAGAATGAAGAGAGGCAAGCATGGCCTGTAAAGACTGATGGCAGGAAATAAGAGAGAGAAAAGAAGGGGGAAAAAACATGGCTAAAAAAAGAAGTAGGAACATGACATTGAAAAGGGAGATATTTATAAAAGAAAACATAAGATCTATAATAACAGTCATTGCCTGCACCAAATATTCCATACAAATAAGTTATATTAATCAATGATGCTCCATGTAACAGCATTGAAGTGTACTCGTGCGTTGGTAATGTATTGTTATGCCAACCTTTGGAAAGAATGAGGTCATATGAAGTTAACATGTAACCTGAAACCAGACAAGTGTTGGGAATTTAATCTAAGTACTGAATGATTTATAAGCTTATGGTGGGTCAAACAGCCCTCCAACAGCGGTGCATGAGCTTCTCATACGCTCCTCTGGGAGTGCTGAACACCGCTGGGGTTCTGCATCAGCTTTAGGCACTGGTTATCCAGGGAGGGCTGTTTGTGTAGACTGATGAAACTAGCAAAGTGTAGAAGAACACACACAATAAAAGTCTTCAAGAAGCCTAAATTAGAAATGTGCCAATCAACGTCTTTTTTTTTTTTTACTCCTGATCTAAGTTCAATGCTTATATATGCAGATACTAATATTTTTTTATACTGGAGCTCTGTTTGTTTTAATGTTATCATAGTTGTTGACTTTTAATAGACTCTCATAAACTCTTCTCTTCAAGCAATTATGATATTTATATCACAAAATGCAACTTCAGATCAGTATAAGATCAGAAAAGGACGTTTTAGAAAAAGTCAGTGTACTGTACAGGTTAAAATTGATGGTACTAATTAAATCAAAGGCAGATGCACATAAAAGGGTAAACTTCATTGATGTTCAAATAACTTCTAATCTAACTTCAGTTTATTAAAGAGCTAGCACCTTTTTCCTCCTTTGGCACATTCTTCTTCTCTTTTTGACCATTAATGATTGAATTTCTCCACTGAGTTCAAGAAAGTTAATCAATTAATCAGTCAATCAATAGTGGGACCAAGTATTATCATTATTTGATTGGTTCATCTCTGTCTTACTAGAGATCTGCAGCTTTTATTGAAGAAAAAAGTTTATGTTAATTGAACAGTTTCTCTAAACTCTTTAGAAAACCTTCAATAAACAAAATAAAAACAATCAGTTATTTTTTTATGTCTTATTACTCTCTATTACTCTCATCTTTAAAAAAAAGGCACAATGACATGTTTGTTTGCATTTTCTAAGCTAAAATATAAAAATTGAAAAGAAATATGAATTACTCTTATTTTGAATTTTTAAAAGAAAGTAGCTCTTAAATCAATGTTTTGTGATGACAGAGTCTGTGAAAAAAAAAAGTTGGTTATATAAACAGCAAATAAACTTTTAGTTCAAAGTCTAAATTAGCTATACTAAACAAATATGTGTTGCATGATTTTAGACAAAAAACATATATTTCATACATACTTTCAAAGGTAACTGCCCTGCAAAAACAATCTAGAAATGAGTAAAAAATTCTTAAATAAAGTGTATTTACCCTTAATTTGATTAGGTAAATAGGATGATTTGTCAATGTAATGAATATATTTACTGTTAAAATAAGATAATTAGATATTATGCACTTGAAATAAGACAATCCGGTTGTTTTTTTGTATCTTGAATGTAAATCGTCTTATGCCCTTGGCAAAGTGTCTCACTTACGTCCTCAATTTCGGAAAGAAAATTACTTATTTAGATTTTAATTCGCCATTTCTTTAACATTGTTGTTTCACTGAGATGGCTGAGGATATACATTTTCATTATAGTGTGGTATTTGCAGGCAATAATGAAAACATTAGCATATTGCTTGTTTGAACCAAATATAAAATTTAGAGTAGTAAGATTAAAAAAATAAAATGTAATCACTGTTATACTGTAAATTTATTAATGCTTTTAATGTCTCAAAACACATTAAAAGATTGAGTATATTTTTCAATAATGTAAATCACCTTGTATAACTTCCATGAACTCATTATTGTCTACTCATGTTAGAAGGACACATTGGTGGCAGTCTGGACACTGATTGAGCTTTTTATCCTGCTGCCTGTGATTTCAACTCACATTTGACTTAGTAAACGCAATAGGATTCTTATTCAAGGTGAAAATGACAAATAAAACATGCTTTTTTTATCTGATGCTGGTGCACCCCCTTCTAAAACCACCCAATATCACTGTCAATCTGCTCCATAAAAGAAATAAAGTCACCAGCACAAGAAGATAAAGACCACAGAATTATGACTGAGAGTTGCCTTTATATACCGGTAATCAAATCAGTCAGATAAATTCAACAACATGAATACAATCAGTAATATTATGTATATCAAAAACAAACATGTTTACTACCCATTCTCTAGGCAGACTGAAAAATATCAAGCACACATATAAAATTTTGGAAAATTGCAAATGAGACCTTTAATCTCTCTGTGAAAGGAGGTAATCAAGTTAATTCACTCCGAATGAGCTCCCACTCAATAAATCAGGCATTCTTTAAAAGGTCAACTAACTCAGCCTTGAAAGCTCTTACTCTCTTCCTAACATACACAAGTAGTGTTGTGCAAAAACCACCAATATCCAAGTTATATAAAGATTTAGAAAATGTTTTTAACTTGACTTTCATTATGTAGATTACCAAACCCACTGGGCCAGGAAACCTAACCAAAGTTAATGGCCTCATTCCATCAACTTTGACTAAATCGACATTGTTAACATCTGTGGAGAAAGTCTGTCTATTGTAACGTTGGATATTTTAGTATGATAGTACACCAGAACATGGGTGAAAAAACAAATTAGAAGACTTAAATCAGATAAAAAATATGATGAGTGAGCTTAAAATTAGACTGATGGCAAGAAAGCCATTTAGGATTGAAGTCTTCATCCAAAAGATGATTGGTCAAAGCTATCATGGGCAACATGCAAAAAGTTGGGAGGCAAACTTTTTAAAATGTATTTTAACCTTTTCCATTAAAAGAGCATGAGAATAACTCTGGACATGTTTTTAAGAAAAAAATAAAGACACACCTGTCCCAGACTACCACTTCCTGCTTTAAGGTCCAGATGGGAAAGCCGCGGGCCAACCGAAGCTACACGCTCTGCAAAAACCTGCTCCAACCCGCTTGCACCGATGGTGAATTCCACACCCGTTATTTCCCACACTTCAGTCAAAACTGCTGCCTGTGAGTCCCTCTTCAAACCACATTGGCTTTGACAGCTATGATGAATGTAAAACCGAGACACCATGTTATCTTATATAGTGAAATATGGAAAGGTACAAAGTCATGAAACAAAGCCTCTGGGAAGTAATGTGTCTGGAAAATAAAATCCAAACTGTCAAAAGAAATAAAAAAACAGCACATTGTGTGGTGAGCTACGGCCAGAGCCAGTAGGCTGTTATAAAAGAGCCATGTCAAATAGCCACTGTGATTAGAGAATGTGAGAGCAGGTCTAGAAATAACTCAGCATCTAATCAGAGGTCTCGGTTGTGTGGCTGCAATAGCAGTAAACCTTTTCCTCGGGTCATCAAGCCTTTTCTAATAAATATGACTGAAGGCCATACTTTCAGGGGCTTTATATGACATGGATGTCAAGACTAATGCAGTGTGGGCAAGCGGTGATCGGCAAAAAGCCGCGGTTGTGGTGAAAAAAAAGAGTTAGAAGGCTGGAAGTAGTTCATTTGTGCACTGTCTCTTTGTGTGTGTCTGCTTGTGCGGTCAGGAGAGAGTAAAAGAGGGATATAAAGAGCGACCGGGTGCGTGCATGAGTGAGTCGGGCCATTGTTCCAGAAAATCTGACCTGAGCCCAGGACATCCTGCAAACATTTATGCAACAGTCTGCTGTCATCAGAAAGAAAGCTCAGGTCTGTGTGTTGGTGTAATGTTCCAACAAAGCAAGTCAGAGCTGCCATTTGCAGAATGTCATTTCATGTATAAAAGCTCATTATTTTCCCCTGTTACTTATCACCTGTCCAGAGTCTTTAAGGAGCTCTTTAAAAGCATAGAAGCAGTGTTTTATGATTTTTTTAAGCAATATGGATGAAGTCATCCCGGCGCCGTCTTGGCTCCTGACAGACAGGCTGCCACGTGGAGCAGAGCTGGAACGATTAAAGTAAATTACGATTGTTAAGAATAATAGCGGATCCCACCAGGAGCCTGCTGTGTCACTCATGGACATTTAAGTATAGAAATGGCTTCAAGGTTTGCTGTTATGTAGAGCTCATGCAGCAGTCCACACAGTTGGCTGATTGGTGCCTACGTGCATAACATTATAGATATAGCTGCTGAAGTTATAATAACTTTCTAATAGTGCAAAAAAAAAAAAAAAACTTCTGTACAATAATGCTGGTATTTGTCTGACATTTTGCAATGACCTCTTCTCACTTGTTTAGTGGAAATTTTCCATAGCAAATGACACGTTCAAGTTTCCAATATTTTGTAACATTTCTCAACACATTTTATAAGGATGAAGCTGTCAAGATAAGGATTAATAAAATATAATGCATATTGATTATAACTGGATGAAAAAATTATCTCTGAATTGTTCTACAAACAGTCATTTGAGGCATGTCCAAAAATTGCACATTCGATAAATGCTGCTTTTTTTGCAAATCAGTTCAAACTCAGTCAAATTGGATGTGGGGCATCCATTCACACATCTTCCTTTCAATGCTGACCAGGTTTCCTCTCTGAGTAAAAAAAAACATAACCATACAATGCTGTTGCCATCATGTTCCACCATGTTGCATTTGGGTACATTTTTCTGCTGATTTTTGCATGAAACCAAATGGTTACTTCATGTGTTCTTCTGCCCGGAATGATTTATTATCCATGTTTTTGTGGCTTTTGGCAGAAAGAAACCTTTACACATTTCTTTCCTATAAAGATCAGATTTGAGGAGTTCACCACCAGCTCTTCTGTAAACACTTTCTCCCACTGAAGCTCTGTCACTCCTCCAGTGTTTCCATGGACCTCCTTGTTGTTTCTAAGATCATTTCTCTCCTTACC